TTTTCCTATTCGTTTAAAAAGATCATGAGATATAACGAAATATACAAAAATAGAAGCTATTACTTTGTTGCTCAAACTTTCTACCGCTCTCTTGACTTAACTATCCAAACTAGTTACCAGATAGTCAGAAATCTAATTCCGTCCACAGAAATGGTATGTTTATTCAGAGAAATATGTTTTTGTGTCTGTTTCTGTATTTTAATTAATAGTTAATATTTAGTATATTTGAGGTCAGTTAGTTTGTGAAAATCCTAGTATTAGAACAAATATTTTTCAGGGTGATTTTTTAATATTTGTGCTGTTTATTTCTGTGTACTTAATATTTTTTTCCCCTTCTGCTTTTCAGAATAGAAATATTTATTTGAATGCTGAATAAATTTTAATATCATGGAATTTCTTTCGTTTTACTAAAATAATTTGAAATTATTTATAATTAATCCAAAAGTGGATAAGATTCAATTTAAAGTGAAAGCAATTAAAAACTATTAAAATGACTTTTATTTTTTTTTTGCTGGGGCCTGGTAAATTCGATGCGCTTCTTCTAGGTATTGAATAGAACTTTTATGAACATCATTTAATATAAATTCCTCGAATTCCTTTCTCAAAGGGAAGAATTTATGGCCCTTTCACATATTGAAAGCAAGAATTCGAGTATGGTTGAACGATCACTAATTAAATTCGTTTTGGAATGATGAGTTCAGTATTTGAAAGGTCATTAACTGAAGAATGTATACTACGGTAATAGGAATTACTTGATATGTTTGTTTTTCTTTTTAGTATAATTTTAGATATATTCTTAAAAATTGTTAGTGATAATATAAGTTTTGTTTTACACATTTATTTTTTTTGTCATGTTATATGTGTATTTTTGTGATAGTTAAAACATTAATTTAGCGTACACTTGCTCCCACCCCTTTTTTTCATATCATGTATAGCAGTGTTTCCCAAACTTATGACCTTTGTGTACCCTTTTTAAATTTTTCGTAACGCTGTGTACCACTAATTAAAAAATGAATGTATTTTTTACTATAAAAAAATTGCACAAAAATTCAAAATCACAACTGGCTGTTGACACTACTAATTATTAACTGTTAACTTTGCAAAAAATAGCCAATAGAAAAAAACGTAATCGTAAATTTTCATGGCTAAGTTTGTTTTTAAATAAAAGTTTTTGAAATTTCCGTTTGTTGCAAGATATTTCGCATAAGAACGTGTACCCCCGCTAAACTGTTCCCGTACCCCTCGGGGTACGCGTACCACACTTTGGGAAACACAGACGTATACAATAGGAAAGTGTAAAAGTAGGTGTAATTCAATAATTTAGAATCTCCGAACAGAAATACAATTAACATTAAAAGAGTAACATTTTGAACTAAATTAAATGGATATAGATTAATATTTGTAGGTAAAGACTTAGTGCTGAAAAATGTTTAAATTTCTAACTTGCAAATTTTGTTAAAAAATTTTTTGAAAAAAATTTTTTTGAGCAATTTAAAAAATTTTTTTTTTGGTGAAAATATTATTTTTGTAACAAATGAGCGTTGGAAAAACATTCAATCTTTAAACATTAAACAAATAATTAAAAGTAAGATTCAAAGAAGAAAGAAGATTTTTTTCCTTTCAATTATTTATGACTTCCTTATACACTAGAAATTGAGAGTAAGTCGTATATTTTTAAGTGACAATTATCACATTTTATAACAGTTTTTTTTATAAAATACTTGACTGTTGTTGGCTTATCTCATTCTTTCGCTTCCCAGAACAACGGAATATTACACCGTTTTTTTTTCTATGTATTACTGAATAATTAATAAATAGATGTATTAATGCACTTCGTACTAATAATGCACCTTTGTTTATTAATTAAAATATGCAGGGCGGTTTTTGCCGTCATTCGCATAGATCAGTGTTTCCCAATGTGTGGTACGCGTACCCCCAGGGGTAAGGGAACAGTTTAGCGGGGGTACGCGTTATTAGGCGAAATATCTTGCAAAGCTAGCCTTGAAAATGTACGATTACGTATTTTTCTATTGGCTATTTTTTGCAGAGTTAACAGTTAATAATTAGTGGTGTTAACAGTCAGTTGTGATTTTTAACTTTTGTGCAATTTATTTTATCACAGCAGCTGTTATCACAGCAAAAGCAATATCACCCTTCTCACTGATGCAAATAAACTTATTAACAAAACTTAGTACCAAAAAGAAAAATAAACAAATTTTTTTAAAAAATGCATTCATTTTTTTATTAGTGGTACACAACGTTACGAAAAATTTAGAAAGGGTACACACAAGTCAAAGTTTGGGAAACACTGGCATAGATATCTACGCATTGTCAAAAAATCGGACAGCTTTTGTGGTTATTTTCTTTTGCGACAACAGGTCGCCTTCTAATGGGTTCGAATCCCAGCAATGGCTGGTTGATACCCTTGCCGTCAAGCTAACCGTGGGCGGTATTCCTAACCATGTAAAGCAAATACGGATTAGTTCCATCGACAAGTCCTCAACGAAGGCAAAATTTCGCCCAATAGTTGATGCCCTTGTCTTCTGGATTGGGTTCAAAATTGCAAGGCTACGAAGTTGAGCATAAGTAGTCGTAAACCCAAAAACTGTGTGGGCTGTTCAATGACTGATATAAAATAAAATAAAATAAAATCTCATAAAAATAAAATTAAATTAAAGTTGATTAATTTTTTTTTAATCTCGATAGGACAAGGTTGAAAAATATGGTAATCTGGAAATTATACTCAAAAAAGGAAGAAAAAAAAAAGATTGGCAAGCACATAATAAGCCTTCAGAAAATTCAAATAAAATAAGATTATTTAAAGATGAAGTGATTACAAAAGTTTCCGTTTGAACACTTATACTATTAATTTTGTGAATCTTCCAAATAGAAGTGTTTATAATAAAAGTAAATAAATAAAATATGGAAATGCTTCTTCAAATTTATTTTATTTATTTGTTGATACTGTATCATTGGAATTTNTTTTTGCTATTTTTTCCCATCATTTTTTTTATAGCTTTTTCGCTATTTTTTTCCATCATTTTTTTATAGCTTTTTTGCTATTTTTTCCCATCATTTTTTTTATAGCTTTTTCGCTATTTTTTTCCATCATTTTTTTATAGCTTTTTTGCTATTTTTTCCCATCATTTTTTTTATAGCTTTTTCGCTATTTTTTTCCATCATTTTTTTATAGCTTTTTTGCTATTTTTTCCCATCATTTTTTTTATAGCTTTTTCGCTATTTTTTTCCATCATTTTTTTATAGCTTTTTTGCTATTTTTTCCCATCATTTTTTTTATAGCTTTTTCGCTATTTTTTTCCATCATTTTTTTATAGCTTTTTTGCTATTTTTTCCCATCATTTTTTTTATAGCTTTTTCGCTATTTTTTTCCATCATTTTTTTATAGCTTTTTTGCTATTTTTTCCCATCATTTTTTTTATAGCTTTTTCGCTATTTTTTTCCATCATTTTTTTATAGCTTTTTTGCTATTTTTTCCCATCATTTTTTTTATAGCTTTTTCGCTATTTTTTTCCATCATTTTTTTATAGCTTTTTTGCTATTTTTTCCCATCATTTTTTTTATAGCTTTTTCGCTATTTTTTTCCATCATTTTTTTATAGCTTTTTTGCTATTTTTTCCCATCATTTTTTTTATAGCTTTTTCGCTATTTTTTTCCATCATTTTTTTATAGCTTTTTTGCTATTTTTTCCCATCATTTTTTTTATAGCTTTTTCGCTATTTTTTTCCATCATTTTTTTATAGCTTTTTTGCTATTTTTTCCCATCATTTTTTTTATAGCTTTTTCGCTATTTTTTTCCATCATTTTTTTATAGCTTTTTTGCTATTTTTTCCCATCATTTTTTTTATAGCTTTTTCGCTATTTTTTTCCATCATTTTTTTATAGCTTTTTTGCTATTTTTTCCCATCATTTTTTTTATAGCTTTTTCGCTATTTTTTTCCATCATTTTTTTATAGCTTTTTTGCTATTTTTTCCCATCATTTTTTTTATAGCTTTTTCGCTATTTTTTTCCATCATTTTTTTATAGCTTTTTTGCTATTTTTTCCCATCATTTTTTTTATAGCTTTTTCGCTATTTTTTTCCATCATTTTTTTATAGCTTTTTTGCTATTTTTTCCCATCATTTTTTTTATAGCTTTTTCGCTATTTTTTTCCATCATTTTTTTATAGCTTTTTTGCTATTTTTTCCCATCATTTTTTTTATAGCTTTTTCGCTATTTTTTTCCATCATTTTTTTATAGCTTTTTTGCTATTTTTTCCCATCATTTTTTTATAGCTTTTTCGCTATTTTTTTCCATCATTTTTTTATAGCTTTTCGCTATTATTATTTTTTTTCTTCTAGCATTTCGCTCATTATTATTTATTAACCGGGAGACTTTATTTACTTCACCGGATTTTTTTTTTTTGAGCAGTATATTTTTTTAAGCAAATCAACTGTTTAATGTGGACTCATTCATCAATATTGGCAAGTTCTTATCACGTCCGGGTCACCAATGTGGGGATTTAATTATCGACTATGTCAACCTTCATCTATCAAAAGGTACTTCTTGATGGATTCAAGTTAACATGTCTTATATACTATTGATTTGGTATTTAATATTTGTAGTGGTAGTTACGCCACAGTGTTTGTAATAAAAGTAAATAAATAAAATATGGAAATGCTTCTTCAAATTTATTTTATTTGTTTGCTGATGCTGTACCATCGGAATTTAATATAATTTTAATTTCTTGGTATATAAGCCAAGTTATCTAGAGTTTAATATTTAACCAATTAATTAAACGAAGCTAACCAAAATTAAAGTAAACCTAATCTCATAAATTCATTTAAAATATAATTCTACTTATAGATTTGTTTGCTTCTTTTAACATCTAACTCAATTTTTTTTCTTTTTTTAAAATTTTTAAATTTAATTTAATTTTAAAGAAAATACACAATTAATGCCGTTTGTATTTTCATATGTAAAGAAAAATATTGTATTGTAGGGAAGGAAATGAACAGAACGATACGAAAAAGATAACCTATAAAGAGCTGCTTGAAGAAGTATGCAAATTTTCTAATGTCTTGAAGAAAAAAGGTGAGATCAATATTTTTATTTACTTTTTTTGTTTACTTTTTGGCACTCATTCTGCTATAAAATTATTGAATTAATTTTTTTGCAATATTAAGAAATCATTACAGAGAACGTCACAATAAACATCAAGAGGAAATGTTTCCTAATTTTGAAAAACGTACTCTTCAGTTGAGAAATATTTTAGAAAACTACCAACAATCTACTACCAACTACTACCAACAATCGATCTAAAAAAAGGGATCTCTATTTTTGTTACTTTGCTAGGGGCTTCTCAAGGCTCAGGCATTTTTGTCAAATATGGAGTCAAAAAGTATAACTATCAGAAATAGCAAATTAATATGTAAACAAGGGAAAAAAATATTAAAATTTAACGAATCACCTCTTAAAGAAGCGGGACCAAAAACAAAACTTGTTTTATAGTTGGAGGTAGCAGAGAGGAATTAAAATGCGATTATTGAAACTACCCAATGTTCTCTTTGGGCACTCAAACAGGTTTTGATTTTTACAGTCCCGTTTTCATCAGCTGTGATTTGTGGCATTTCCATAGAGTTTTTGACAATTCCTTACTTTAATACTAATTTAAGGGCCCCGGTGTGTATCTTTTTTGACTTCGTTTTTGGTAAGGATTCTATTAAAATATATACTAGGGCTGGGACAGCCTGGTTGGTAGGGCACTGGACCCATGTCCAAGAGCTCGTGGGTTCGGTCCCAGGCCGGCCGAAGACTCCCCGTGTAGTAAATGGTGACTGATGCACGTTAAATCTGTCGAGTCACAAAGTCCTCCATGTTCCCATAACAAATCAATACATCTGGGGGTACTGATCCAGGAATTTCTTTGTCTTTTGGATTGGTTTACAAGGCTACGGAGTTGAACATTAGTAGTCGTAAACCCAAAATTGGGTCGACTGTTCAACGAAGAATATAAAAATACATACTAAGGGTGGTCTTTACGGAACATTGTGTAAGTAATATGTGTTACCGAGAAAGTTCATCTGACAAGGTTCGTTTGGATACTGCAAAAATGATATCTAATTGGAATCTAAACCCAATTGTTTTCAGTAGAAATTATGAACATTTATTTGCATGAATTAAATTTGATTTTATAGTTTTTAAAAAAATTATTTCTATAAAAATAATTTAATTTTATTTTAATTTTCTTCCCAGGCCTTAAAAAGGGAGATCGCGTGGCCATATACATGCCTATGATTTTGGAGTTGGTTGTTGCTATGTTGGCATGTGCTCGCCTTGGTATCATTCATTCTATTGTTGTAAGTTAGCCTTTATTGATCATTATTTAAGAAAGGAAAAAAAGGTAAACTGTTTTTTTTTTGAGCATTTAGTTTTTATGATGTTTTTATAGGTTTCGTTTAGATTATAATTTAAATCTCCTTATGATAGCATATTTATTTTATTTCGTGACAGAATTCTATTCCATTACTCCAATGCTATTGAAACGAACAATCAAGAAAAAAAAAAAAACTCCAGAGGATATTCTGGAAAATGAAAAAAATTAAAACCTCTTGTTACCGGTGCAAATGTAAGAAAGTTAGACTTACTCTAAGACAAAAAACAACGAAAATAAACCACAAATAAAGTAGAGATATGGACATCACACTTAAGTTTTGGGTCTGCCCCCAGATCCTTCATCAACCTCAGTGTCTAATTACGTAAAAAGTTCTATTTTTTATGATTTAGACACTGAGGAAGGTTCTTGTTTAGAGATCCGAAACTCTAGTATGTTCATTTCTGTACTTTTTACCTAAATCGACGTTGCTAAAAGTATATAGTTTGTCTACTAAAGTAAGAACTCCCCTAGCCATTCGTCTGGTCCCGTGGTGGTGACTATGGTAACGAGGTATAACTATTTCAAGTAGGAGTGTGGGGTCATTGTTTAGGACACATTTTAGCTCGGGTGGGTGAGAGAAATGGAATATTTTTCTTTGGTCTATTGGGTTAGCCCTAGAGTGAAGAGGAACTATCCTCCCTGAAATGCGCTATTCTCATTTCCATAGCAGCAGACGGCCTCAGACTTTGTGGCGAGGGGAGTTCTTACCGCAGACAAACTATACACTTTCCTCCTTTTATATAAATTTCGAATTGTTTTGAGTATCTAAAACATGAGGCGGTTCGACTGTACGACAGCGCGAACGACATGTTTTCTTCATGTTTATGAATTCGTCAGGTAGAAATCACGTGAATTCACACACTTTTTTTCCTGACTTGGATCGATTGTCATGTTTTAGGTACTCAAATATGTTGCTCTTTTTTCTATTTTAATCATGTCATGAAACAAAAGAAATTTTTATTTTCAAATGTGATTGCATTTGGTTGCTAACATTAACATACTGTTTAAAAATTTTATTAAATTTATAATTAAAAAAAAGTAAGTTAAACAAAAGAAAGAAAACTTTCAAGAAAGATTGTATTGTGTAAAAGATTCACGAGTTCATTGTTAATTTTTAAGTCCTAAAATTGTTTTCTGTTACTTCTTTATTTACTTTTAAAATCGGATAATTTTCCCATTTAGCTAATATAAAGAATGAGAATTATATTCTTATTGTTCTCTTTCATGATTGTTATTTTAGTTTGGTGGATATTCAGCTGAGTCTTTGGCAGAAAGAATCATCGATGCGCAATGTTCTCTTCTTGTTACTGCTGGTAATTACTTTATGCGTTTTGTGCGTAGTGTCTTTCCACAAAGAAAAGTCAAATCAACTTTTAATTTCTAAACAACAACTACCAGTATTGAAATACCATTTTTAATTTCTGAACGACAATAACTATGAGGGTTAAAATACCACTTTTCATTTCTAAACGACAACAACTATGAGGGTTAAAATACCACTTTTCATTTCTGAACGACAATAACTATGAGTGTTGAAATACCACTTTTAATTTCCGAACGACAACAACTATGAGGGTTAAAATACCGCTTTTCATTTCTGAACGACAATAATTATAAGTGATGAAATATCACTTTTAATTTCTGAACAACAATAACAATGAGTGCTGAAATGCCGTTTTTAATTTTTGAACAACAATAACTATGAATGTTGAAATACCACTTTTAATTTCTTAGCTAAAATAAATATGATTATTAAAATCTTGTCTGGGGAATTAAAAAATAACTATGAGCTCCTTCAGGGAATTGTTTTAAGCGTCCTCTGAAATCAAAAGTAGTGTATCAAATTTGTAAGTGGTTTCAACTTTCATTTTTTTCTCACAAACTTTTCTATCCCCAGAAGAAAAAAAAAATATCTTATGCTCATTAATGTTAAGAATAGAATGTGTAAAACATGATTGAAATTCAAATTGTTTTTGACTTTACACAATCTAATAACCAAAATCGTCTCGGAAGTTGGAATTTTTTTTTTAAAAAAAAAATTTCAAGATAGGAATCTGCATATATGCAATTGCAGAATTAGTAAATTTGAGAATTGTTCCATCATGCAGTCGTTATATGCCACATATATGGCAAAATTAAGAAATTTTGTTACTAGCTAGTGGCCAGTAGTCACATTTTTAATAGTGACCACATTTAAATACACTCTTTGTAGCTATTTCTTTAAAAATTAGTAATTATAAACTATTAAAAACCTTTCGATATTATTAATGTGAAGCATTTCTCAAACTGCAGGGTTCATTTCTATGACGTCGTAACAACAAGTTATTATGCTCTCGTTTCGTAATAACCGAACCAATGGTTATGCAGTGATACTGTGTAATGACAGAATAATGGCGAGCAAGGATGGAGTCCTAAAGTGGTAAAAAATGCACAGAGAGTTGCAAATCAATATTTAGGAAACGAAAAAAACAAAATTGTTAAAATTGTTTTCAGAATTTGGTGGATCATTATTGAGGTTGGTGAGATTAAAAACTTCAAAACCAATTTGATTGCTGATTGAAACTTGGAGATATGTCTGATGATCACCATCATCAGAGTTTTCTCAAGCAATCACACAGCTTTTGATCTTACTTTCATTTTTGATGGTTCGTTACATTTTAATTTTTTTATTTTTACTTTGCTTGATGACTAATTTGTAATGAAATTAACTTTTTACAAAGATTCTAAAAGCATATATTTCAAACACACATATATTACACTATTTCACTTATATATTACAACACTTATATTACAAATATTCAATCTAGGTTGGAGTAAATGCTTATTTCTATGGTAGTCAGAGTGTTTGGTAATGACTAAAAGTTAAAGGTTGGCGATTTTTCGCCAGTAGTCATTACGTAATTTTCACTATATATTTTTTTATAAATATAAAGAGATGCATGATCTATACATGTAATAAAAGAATTATTATTCATTTTCTGAATTTATAGCAGTAATTTTTTCAAATGTGTATTTCAGACGGAGGGTATAGAGGACCGAAGCTGGTGAACTTAAGATCAATTGTCGAAAATGCTATTAGAATCTGTGATGAAAAGTAAGTGATTATGAAATCAGATGTTTCTTACTAACTACTTTTTTTCTCTCCATAAAACCAAAAAATTCTTTATATATTTTTTAATTTATATTACAGGGATCACAAACTAAAAGCTGTCATAGCTGTCAAACATTTAGGCTCTTTAAATAACAAGACTGCTAATTCTTCAGAGGTAATGTGACAACAGACATTTGAAACATAAATAAGTTACTAAGTAAAAAATGTTTTATCTTTCGTGTTTTATTTTAATTATTAAAACTTTTTTTGTTATTAATAAATGATTTACCCTAATGTTAATTTGAATTCTTATGTCGAAAAGTTCTTACCAAAACCTTATGTCAAATTTTTTTCAAAATCGAAAATTAATTTTTTCGGAAAAATCACAATGTAAGTTTATTGTAAACCAACTCTTTTCTATTTAATACATAACTATTTTTGTCTTACTTTTAAAAATAAAATTATCATTGTTGTATTTAGACTTACAGTCAACTATCATTACATGCATATTTATTCGTAGTTATTTTCACGTTTCATGACTAATTTTTAGAGTAATATTTTAGAATATATTTTTCTACTTTCTAGAACATATTTACCTCTGAATTTTTTATCTTGAAAACTAGCTACCTTGAAATTTTTCAGCATCCTTTTAACTTCGAGATATCGAGAGTATACTTTATTAAAAAAAATCTTAATTCGTTGCCTTGCACAATGGCAGGCATTTTAAACTAATGCCAAATGATTAGAATTACTGTTATTGCTGAAAAAACATACTAAATATAAAGATAGCAACTTAATTCGCTTTTGGTTTTGAATATTTTCTATTGGTAGCAAAAATTATATTTTAATTCATGATTCTGGATTTAGTAAAATTTTTTCCACCCCTATGTATTGATAATTCAAAAATTCAAATAAATAGGCTCCTTATTTTAGTTACTTCGAGGTGATGCTATTAAGGTATTTTCAGAATTAACCGCATTCAGAATTCTGCAATTCTAGTTTTTAATTCCATGTCATTTAATGAAATCTTTTTTTGGAAAATTTTTTTGGAGTAGTTGGCATTTTTGTAAACATATATACTTTTAAAATAATATATTCCACAATAAATTAAATCTTATGAAAAAAAAAGGGTTTAAAACAATTAGTTCGGTTTAAATTCTTTGAGAAATCTTTATGTTAAAAAATAATTTCAGAAGATGATTAATTTTTGTAACATTTGCTTTGATTATTTGAACCGAATTATTGACAAGCGAATGTCTAAGAAATTGATATTTTTATACTGGACATTGTAAAGGTCCAAATTAAATTTAGAGAATACTTTTTGTACATAGGTGAGTACTTTAATTTATTTCTTGAAATTTAGTTGTATTCAATTGTTTAGAATCCTAAATGGTATACAAAATGCTATACTATCTCCACAAAACCCAAAGATCTGCAAATAGTTAAAAAGTAAAATAGTGTTTTCAAAAATATCATAAATGGTGAAATTTAAACATAAAGTATATGAGAGGGAGGCCTGATATGCTTTGAACTAATGACGTTTTACAATGAGTTGTTATACAAGTAGTTCAGTTCTAAGGCCATTGGTGCGTACTTAGGTCGGTGTAAGTAAACTAAATATAATATAAATTTTTTTTTTCGTTCTAGGTAAAATGGGGCATGAATGATTCTTCTATACTTTCTTTTTGGCATGACGAAATGAAAAATTCAAGTGCAATTTGTGATGTTGAATGGATGGATGCTGAAGATCCATTATTTATTTTGTATACGAGGTTGGCCATCTTATGTTTTTAACCATAATTAATCTTTTCATTTTTTTTAAACTTTCTTTTAGCTTATTACCAGATAAAAGATTTATATTTATTACTATTTTAAATGTACATTTCTTTTACAGAATTTTAATTTTTCAGATAAAAGTTTTTCTTTCTATTTAAAAATATAAATTTATATTCTCTATATGGAACAATATTATATGTAGAATTATATTATGTATAGAATTATATAAGAATTAAAAATAATATGGAATTATTAAAAATATAGAATATAATATTATACCCATTAATTTCACAAAATTATGTGAAATACAATTTTTTGTAACCTGAATGATAATATAGTATCAATCATTTTCCTGCTTTTAAATTTTTGAGGTATATTTTTTTCTTTCCGTAATTCAATTCATTTCAAAGGATTCAGCATTAACCCAAATCAGTTTTCAACAGTTGAAGCAAAATCGAAAGAAATATAGAAAAATTTGAAAGCTAACATACGAGCTATATATTACCTAATGAAACCTGGACAACTGCACAATGTGTAGAAAAATGACTTTTAACTTGTAAAAGAATGAAAATTTTGAATGAAAGTTTATCATTAAAAGTTTATTATGAACAAAAGCATCAAGGAAACAATAAAAAATTTGAACTAAAATTCAAAGTGGTGAGCAAAGAGTGTTCTTAAATACCCTCTTTTTTTACTTATAGCATGTTTTGTTCTATTATTTAAAAAAAATAGCAGTTTTTTGACAATTAGTTTTGTGTTGAATTGTTTCAGTGGTTCAACTGGAAAACCGAAAGGAATTCTACACACAACTGCAGGATACATGGTTTATGCATATACAACGTTTAAGTACATATTTGATTATCATGAAAATGACGTATATTTTTGCACTNTATAGAATTATTAAAAATATAGAATAATAAAATATTGTACCCATTAATTTCACGAAATTATATGTAATACAATATTTTGTAACCCGAATGATAATATAGTATCAATCATTTTCCTGCTTTTAAATTTTTGAAACATATTTTTTTCTTTCGGTAATTCAATTCACTTAAAAAGATTCAGCATTAACCCAAATCAGTTTTCAACAGTTGAAGCAAAATCAAAAGAAATATAGAAAAATTTGAAAGCTAGCATACGAGCTATATATAACCTAATGAAACCTGGACAACTACACAATAAGTAGAAAAATGACTTTTAACTTGTGAAAGAAAAATTCAGCGAAAAATATTTGGACCTGTAGAGCAGTGTTTCCCAAACTTATGACTTTTGTGTACCCTTTTTAAATTTTTCGTAACGCTGTGTACCACTAATTAAAAAATGAATGTATTTTTTACTATAAAAAAATTGCACAAAAATTCAAAATCACAACTGGCTGTTGACACTACTAATTATTAACTGTTAACTTTGCAAAAAATAGCCTATAGAAAAATACGTAATCGTAAATTTTCATGGCTAAGTTTGTTTTTAAATAAAAGTTCTTGAAATGTTCGTTTGTTGCAAGATATTTCGCATAAGAACGTGTACCCCCGCTAAACTGTTCCCGTACCCCTGGGGGTACGCGTACCACACTTTGGGAAACACTGCTGTAGAGGATAACCATTGTTGAGAGAATCAGATTACATCTAGAAGTTGAGAAATTTTATAAAGACAAGGATATAGTTAACATCATAAAGTCTAAAAGGCTACAGTGGTTAGGTGACTTAATAAGAATGAATGAAAGTTAAAGTTTAAGAAAGGTCTTTTTGGAAAAAATAACAAGAAAGAAAAGTGTTGGAAGACCCAGAAAACGAAGGCTTGAGGAAGTTTATCTGGACCTAAAAATCGTGAAAGTTTAAAGAGAAATCTGAAGATCGAAAAGTTGGGAAATGTGTGGTGAGAGAGGTTAAGATCCTTCCAAGTTATAGCGTCAATGAATAAGTGTATAAGTTCAAACAAGCGTGCATTTTCAGAAAACGATACTCTACTATTATAATGGGTAAAAAAGTAGGAAAATATTCATAAAATTTAAAGAATTTTGTATTGTTATTTCATTTTATTTAGTATTACAAACCTTTATTTTTAATTTTTTAAAAAATTGTATTGAGTTTTTGAATGGAAATTTATCATTAAAAGTTCATTATGAACAAAAGCATCAAGGAAACAAAAATAAAAAATGTAAACTGAAATTCAAAATGGTAAGCAAAGAGTGTTCTTAAATACCCCCTTTTTTTTACTTATAGCATGTTTTGTTCATTTATTAAAAAAATGGCAGTTTGTTGACATTTAGTTTTGTGTTGAATTGTTTCAGTGGTTCAACTGGAAAACCAAAAGGAATTCTACACACAACTGCAGGATACATGGTTTATGCATATACAACGTTTAAGTACATATTTGATTATCATGAAAATGACGTATATTTTTGCACTGCAGATATTGGTTGGATTACTGGTCACACTTACGTCACCTATGGACCTTTATTAAATGGTGCTATCTCAGTTATGGTGAGTATTATATTTGCCACATCCAGTTAGATATTACTATATAAGCGTAACCTAGAATTAAAAAATAATGAATATTTATTCTTCAAGTGCTTAAGTCAACGAGTTATAAAAACTGAAACCCGTAAAAACCATTTAGTTTAGTTTTTTTTCTCTCTATCATTCTTAAAAATAGAAATCAGTAAGATTGCATATTAGTATGGGGGAAGTTTTCTGTAATGGTACCTGTGTCAAAATAAAGGCTACATTTTGGCTGCTAGCAGTTAGCAATCAATACTCTGATAAAAAAAATCACAGTTGGGGATTTATTTGAAGGATAAAACTCATAGCAACTCCAGGAAAGCAACAACGATTTTTAAATTTTTTTTTTTTACAAATCATAAACCTTTTATCGTCGTAGTGATTCTAGTTGGCGCAAACAGGAACCTATACGGTACATTACATACGGTATATTTTGGTACATTTCTGCTACTCTTAATTCCATTCCAAGTCTTTAATACAACTGTTACATGTTTTTATTTTATTTAAATTATTTTATTAAATTGAAATGTTTTATATTTTGATCAAATGCTTATATTTAAGTTGTTTTTTTACTACTCATGCTAGGTAATCTCTAATGACTTTTTTTAAAAAAATAATTTTGAAAGCAGTGTTTGGAGAATGAGAAAAAAATTTCTTCAATTGAGTGATTCAGAATTTTTATGACTCTTGTTATTAAACTAAAACTTCTTGTTCTAAAACTTTTTCTTTAATTAACTTTATATAGTTTTTTAGGAAATTTTTTTAGATATTTTATATTTTTTTAACTAAATTTCAATGATGTTTGGATAAGAGTTCATCAATAATTTAACTTTTCAATCAGAGTTTATTTCATTGGTTGTCTAAAACAAAAATGTATTTCAACAGTTTGAAGGCGTTCCATTCTATCCTGATGCTAGTCGTTTTTGGAATGTTATTGACAAGTACAAAGTTAGTTTATTTTATACTGCTCCTACTGCAATACGGGCACTTATGAGATTTAGTGATGACTTTGTCAAAAAGTAAGACATTCTTTTTTACAATTTTTTAATGAAATTAATAAAATTACGAATTGTCGCCTTAATGTTTTATTTTATATTGCTTCCATTCATATATTAATCTATTTTATTCTTTTAATGGATGTTTTTGTTTTACAATTTCATAATTTTTAATATTATGAACTCTGAAAAACATTTGTTATATAATAATTTAATTTAAAAATATATTCCAGTTAATTAAAGATTTTCTATTGCATGTATAATATAGTAGACTGTCATCCCAGTGTTGGGTTGACCATCCAACCGCGATATCTGCTCCTTAACCAAAGCTCAAGGTCATGAAAACAGAGATATGCACAGTAGGCCTTGGCACTCCATGGACTGTCAAACCATTGAATTTAGTTTATATAGTGGACTCAAAGACTTTTTATTGTATACAAGTTGGTTTATTTTTTATTCAAATTATGCAGTCAATTCCGCATTGGGAGACCTACAAAAAACATATTCATTTTAAAATTTTAATAGATTGTTAATTGAAATTTTATAAATAACAAATATGAAAGAAAACCAGAAAGAGCTATTCAAGTTAAATTCTAAAACATTCCGAATTATGAATAGTTCCTGATTTGTACTATAAGCTTTAATGAACTGAGTAAAATAAGAAAGATACTTTATTTTTGTGTTTTTTATTTTTAAAATTGGTTTTCTGATATTGCATGAATTGCTTTGTAAACCCCAGAGTAAAAACTACATTTTATTTCGATAGTGTTATGCATCATTAGACAGAATGCTTATTTTTAGATTGTGAAATTTTTATGTTGTTTCTTTTAAAAAGTAATACACTTGAAGAATACAAAAGCTTTTTTTTTTAAAAAAAAAAACATGTAAAGAGAATTGAAGGTTAAATATTTTGACGCCATCCTTATCTTTTCATCCTAGTTTCATATTTATAAAGTTACAGCTTCGATGCAATTAGACAAATATCAATCAAATGGCGTTTAATCTTATGATACATAAAAGATAACAATATTTATGAGTGTTTTAGACCTGCTTGATACATTACTTAAATAAATGTTTAACTATATTTTTTAGATCAAGCAGGGAAAGTTTGAGATTGTTGGGAAGTGTAGGAGAACCAATCAATCCCGAGGCTTGGCTTTGGTATCACAGAGTTGTGGGAGATGGAAGATCTCCTATTGTGGATACATTCTGGCAAACTGAAACAGTTAAGTTTTTTTTCTAGCTTTAATTATGTAATTGTGGTTTAGTCAAATGCAGTTTTACTTTATTTGCGTCTTATTAGAGCTACACAATTGACTATTGGCGAGGATGTGGGAAACATCCCTGAAGATGATCCCAAGACATTATCACAATTTTGACCCTCTGCAAAAGGGATGGCTCCTCCCTTTTGGTAACCTGCGAAATTGAGCTATAAAACAACTTCATGAAAACTGATACTACTTACCCTCTGTCTCTTTGCATGCTGATCATAGTGGTCACCTACATACTCACTAACCTCTGCCAGTGATGCTTGACTTCGTTCTTATGGGATCAACTTAAATAAATCAATTTAATAAATAATATTTTGTAAAAAATGACTTAAATAATCTTCAGGTGCATTTTTGAAAATACTAGTAAAAAGTGCACCACGTTTTCATAACTAATTGAAATTCATTGTTATAAAAACCCATTTAGGTTTGAACATTGAATTAATTATATTTGCTTTTATATGCTTGCTGTTTGTTGTAAATTACATTGTAAAGAATCACATTATGCACAGAAAGCAAATTTTTCTTAAAGTATGTAAATTTATAATTGCATGTTGCTAAAATATACTACAGTAAATTGCATGTATTAAATATAAAATTGCATGTGTAGAAAAAAACTTTTATCAACAGCCAAAACTAATAGGTTTATAAAAGTGAATTTATTGTATGCATAAATTGATGTTTAATATATTATATTTCATTAAGTTTAAAAACCTTAATCATTCTTTGTGTTTCAATGATGAAAATGATTTTTTTTTCAGGGTGGTATTGTAATCACTCCGCTACCAGGTTGTACGCCTTTGAAACCAGGATCAGCAGTAAGCAGTTTTGTCTTGTATTCTGTTTTTCAATCTGTTTTGAATTTTTTTAAAATACAGCTTACTTAAATGCCCAAATAAAAATTCTCACACAATTAGGTTTTTTACTACAAATATTTATTACTTCAAATCAATTCTGTTATTTGTGCTACCAAAGAATTCCATTTAGAAAGTACATTGAAAATCATAAAACAAGTTATTATCCTTGTCAAAGTCATAATTAAAAACTTAGCTTAGAGATGAGTAGTAAGAAGGAATATTCTCGGAATATTGGAACTACAATGTTTCTGGTATGCCCAGATAACTTTACACAATTCAAATATAATTAAGTATAAATATTTTAATAAATAAGACCGTTAAATAAACTTTATTTAGAAACGAAAAATGATTTTTAAATTTGACCCTCAATTTTTTATTATTATTTTTTTAATTGTGATCTTGAAACTCTGTAAAATATCCAAGCCGTTGGATGCTATAAACTACATATATAACATACTAGTATATATTATTCCTCTCAACATAGAAAATACCAGCTTTATTGATTTTACTTTTATTGTTATCAACCTAAAAAGTGTGCGGTATTGATTCTGCAATTTCTAAAATCACGGAAATGGAGAAATTTGATTAAATTTAATAAAATAAGATTTTGTAGTGCTTATTTCAGCGCTTAAAATTCTTAAATATAAAAAATCATTTGCACAAAAAACACCTTCAAAAAGGCTGTTGAAAAATCGTTGTCGAGAAATTTATATATATTGATATAAATAATTAAATTAAGTTAAAATAAAACAAAATAAAATTTTAAAAAGTGAAATAAAAAACAGAATCAAATTTTATTGAAGTCTCATTTTTTTAAAATCAATTTTATAGTCTTCTATTCTCGAATTGAATTAAAAATTGTCCTCTATAGAGTTTCCTATAGCAATTTTAAACTTTCTCATGATATGCTTAAGCTTTCTTAAATTTACTTTCAGAATGTTTGAACTCTCTTAAACTTGCTACTAATATGAGATATCATGTTCCTATTTGATAATTGTATAAAATGAGTGTAACTTTAAGTTTACTCTTTCCTAGACATTTCCTTTCTTTGGAGTTATGCCGAAACTTTTGACTGAAGAGGGAAAAGAGATTAATGGAGAAGGAGAGGGATATTTGGTAAGTGTTTATATATCTAAGAACTTTTTTTAATTAAAAAAAGTTCTTTTAGTTAAAAAAAATATTTTTCCTTAAAAAGACATTTTGATAAAATTCCATCCTATCTTTGAATTATTTACATGCCTTAAGTTCAAATATATCAAATTTTTGGCAGTTTTAGACTCCCTTTTTATGTTAGCAAAAATAAACAAATACCAAACTATACGGAAGTTAGGTGCTTCAATATGTGAATGGCCCCTAAGTAGTACTTCATTTATGAAGAGTAAATATTTAATGTATAAATAAATTTTAGAAAGTCAATTGTATTCCGGTGATGTTTCCTTAATTAATAAAATTTTTTGTTACGATTAAATCCCGAAGTGTCCTTTACGATTAATTCGTGAATAATAATCCGCTATATTTCTTTTGTTAAAAAAAAAAACATATGTAAGAATGTTTTTTATGAAAATGAAAACAGAAATGCAAAACTTATACAGTAGTATAAATTTTTTTAGACATGAATATTAATGTAGCATGCTATATTTCTTTAAAAAGGATTTTAGTCTATATAATTCCCAGCAAGCATCCTTTGTCTTGATCACTTTGATTGTAATGCTATTTAATGTGTGGTAATTTACTTATGGATAACGAAATATTTCACTTTATCTTATTTAATTTTAAAGTTTATTTGCTGTGATGGCATCAATTTAAATAAATGCTGAAACGCAATATTAAAAAAAAAAAATTATCTCTACTAATGTAATATGTAGCAAAATTAAAATTGTCTTTGAAAACAAAAGTTGAAGAGTATTTAAAAAAAACCCTGCTGACTTGGGAACTTTTTTTAAAATTTTATATCCAACAGCAGAGGTGTTTCAAAATAATGTAAGTCAGAAATAGAATCGGTCAATCGGTCATAAAATAAATCAATAAGTTATCTTTAGTAATTATTTAATGAGGAAATATCTATAACTGGAATGACTTTTACAGGTTTTTGATAGACCATGGCCAGGAATGATGCGAAGCATTTATGGCTCTCAAGAACGTTATGAAACTACATATTTCAAAAAATTTCCAGGCTTCTACTGTACAGGCGATGGTAAGATTGAATCTCAAAAATTTATGTTATATGATTTAGAGAGCTTCGGAAGAATCTAGCAATTTGTTTAACCTTCAATATTTATTATAAAACATTAAAATATACAATATGTCTTATAATAATTATCAGACTGTTATGAAACAAATGTAGTATTACTGTAATAATTTTTATATTCATTGTAAAACAGTGGGTCAAAAACTATGCACATCTAGTTTTGTGTTGTAAAACTCAGACCTTTTTTTTTAGAAACCATATTAACTAGACTGATTTAAAATTATTTTTATTCATCTTTTATTGTTATTCACTAAGGTTTATTAAACTTTTTAATTCTTTTTTACTTAGCTATTAATTTGCAACAACTAACGAGCATAGTTTTTTTACTTCATTTTTATAAACATTATTGTCACGGTGCGTAGCGTTTTTAAAAAGTTCTTATTTTCGATATTTAAAAGCCCTTAAAGTTGCTTTTTTCATTGGGTGTTTTTAAAAAGTGCTTAATTTTCCCTTTTCAAACATTAGATTTTTTTTTCTCCTCTGCCATGCCGATTTTCGCCACGTATTATGCAAAAGNAATAAATCAATAAGTTATCTTTAGTAATTATTTAATGAGGAAATATCTATAATTAGAATGACTTTTACAGGTTTTTGATAGACCATGGCCAGGAATGATGCGAAGCATTTATGGCTCTCAAGAACGTTATGAAACTACATATTTCAAAAAATTTCCAGGCTTCTACTGTACAGGCGATGGTAAGATTGAATCTCAAAAATTTATGTTTTACAATTTAGAGTGCTTCGGAAGAATCTAGTAATTTGTTTAACCTTCAATATTTATTATAAAACATTAAAATATACAATATGTCTTATAATAATATTCAGACTGTTATGAAACAAATGTAATATTACTGTAATAATTTTATAATCATTGTAAAACAGTGGGTCAAAAACGATGCACATCTAGTTTTGTGTTGTAAAACTATGACCTTTTTTTTAGAAACTATATTAACTAAACTGATTTAAAATTATTTTTATTCATCCTTTATTGTTATTCATTAAGGTTAAACTTTTTAATTCTTTTTTACTTAGCTATTAATTTGCAACAACTAACGTGCATAGTTTTTTACTTCATTTTTATAAACATTATAGATATAAAATATTAAATTTTTTAATTAATTGGTATAAAGATTATTTATAATTAAATCTGTATTTTATTAATAATTTTTATAAAGATTATAGAAATGTATATTAAGCTATACTTCATAAAGTAAACATTGTATAACACACAGATGCTATTGTGATCTGTTAACTATTGTCACACATAAGCCCATATTTTTCAATGATAAAGATTTTGTGCATTGGCTTCCATGTAAATAACAATGTGTTTTTCATATGTAGGAGCTAAGAGAGATAGCGATGGATATTTGTGGATAACTGGTCGTGTGGATGATATGCTTAATGTTTCTGGCCATCTGTTGTCTACTGCTGCGGTTGAATCAGCTCTTATCACTCATCAAGATGTATCTGAAACGGCAGTTGTATCAACTCCTCATCCAGTTAAAGGAGAATGTCTGTACTGCTTCATCACCCTCAAAGAGGTAGAGTAACATTTTAAATGTCCTTCTTTACTAAATAAATGCAACGGCTTTTTACTATGAGGTAAGAAGCTATTGCATTTATTGCAATGGCTTTTAAAATATTCTAAAAACATTCTGCTGCTGCATTAAACTGCTTTTAAAACATTCAATTCCTAAATGATACATTCCCAGTTTGAATTATTCATTTATTATATTTGTTTCTTCTCATTCTCAATGTAATTTCAGCGAGGATACAACCAAGCAATGGCTAATAAGGTTGTATTTATGAGGCATGCAATCTCTTCTGCATTTTGTTAAAGCTTTCTGCATTTGCATCACATTTTCTGCCTTTCCGCTTTGCATTTTAAAAATATACTAAAATTGAGCATCTTCTTATGTAAACACGTGTGTATCGGGGTAGGATCTCATGTTTTGCTCAATGTCATAAAATCTCTCAAATTTGCGTAAAAAAGAGGGTGTTGTTAAAGGTGGAAGAAATGTCTCATTAACGAGATTTTGCATAAGTAACGAAATTTAAATTTTTAGATTAGCGGAACTGCCAGAAAATTTTGACAGAATATAAATTAATTCGCGGAAATCCATGAATCAATTTATAATCCGACTCAGCAAATTAGTGGAAGAATCACATGCCTTACTTTATTTCATTTAAGGAACACTACATTCCAATAACTGTACTCTAGATTCTTTGAATCAGGAATAAAAAGTTCTGCATTTTAAGTAATTTCTTCTGCAATTTTATACTCTTAAAAAAAAATAATAATAACCGACGGCAGGAATGATGATGTATTAAGATTAAAAAAAAAAAAGATTATATATATAAGTTGTGGTTTAGAATCATATATTCATGTTTTCTATACGACATAATTCTTAAATTTTGTACGATTTATATCAATTTTCACACAATAGTTTCTTTCTCTAAACACATCTTGGTGTATTTATAAAATAGATCTGTTGAAGGTTCTTCAAAGTTTTGTGAAAGATAATTGATAGGCTTTATAAATGCATGTTCTATATTCCACTGCAAAAATTAATCGAATCGTTTTCTTTAAAAATTGTGTTCTTTTACTATCTAAATTTTTTTAAGAGACTGAGAAATAGCAAGACACTTTTCAAAAATTATTTTTCAATGAAGATTACAAAATTTGAAAGCTAATTTACACATTTTTTCTCCTATAAAATATTACTGTAGAGATTTCTTGTAAAAAAATTTAGAAACCTACATTTTGCGTCTGCTTTTTTGCATTTTCAACAGTCTAACACATTGTAAGTACTATATTAATGTCTTGTTCTGAAATTAAGAAACAGATAAATACTATGTAATCTTAGTTAAATGTTTGCATGTTTATGGTGGTTTCTTTTTTAATTCATTTAGCAAAAGTCAAAGGTAAAATATTATTATCAAACAAATTTAATTTTGATTGGTAACAGAAAATAGATGACAAACCTGTCCGTGAATTTTAAACAACTTGACAAACCTGAAAAAAATTTATTTATAATAATTTTGATTTTCGACTTAATTTAATATTATTTCACTTCACTAATAATATCTTACTCTGAATGATAATTTACATTATTTTTTTTTATTTGTATTCATTTACTCATTTATTTTTTATTTCTTAACAGGGAAGAGAATACAATGAAAAAGTTGGAAAAGAATTGAAAGAAAAAGGTAAATATTTTGATTTAATCATTTTGCTAAAAATATTTTAATGTATTTTTACCATTTTGTTGTTATTCTATTTCAATGTTTGCTTATTTCTATTTTAAATTATAGCGTATAAACCTTAAATATCTAAGTCCATTTTATTAACCTCTGTAAATTAACCCCTTCTCTTTCGGCTTTGCATGCCATGTGACGAAGAGAAAAATTTCATCATTGAAATTGAATTCCTCGCTACTTATGTCTTAAATCATGTGATTGTCTTTTATTTCTGAATATTGCTAAGACATGACGCAACTAGTCACACTTTCTTCAAAATTTTTGTAGTGAGATTTCCCGCCTTGAATTGAAATCAAAATCCTTTTATACTTTCTGTAATTTTGCTTTAATTAGTGTTGTACCGTGAAACCTCTCGGAAGCGACCACTCTCAGTTCCACAGTAAATGGTTATTGATGGAGGTTGGCCATTCTTAGAGGTTACCTCCATCGACTTCAAAATTGTTATCGAAGGTACATGATTCTTCGCAAACGATTTTAATTTTAGTGTGTGATTTTCTCTGTGCGGAAATGCCACTTTTGTTGACGTCGTGCAAAGACGGATCTATGAATAAAATTCAATGTCTATAAAAATTTTCCCAACTGATATAATTATGTGTAAAATTTAATTTACCAATTACAGGGATGCTACTTGCAAAATATCAAATTGTCTCACCAGAAATTGCATTTCGTCTCAGTTAAAATCTCTTTTTGGCTCAGTTTGTCTCAGCTAAAATTATTTTTTTCACTCAGTTTATCTCAGCTAAAATGATTATTAATCAGTTTGATAACAATATAAAGATAATTTTCAGGATCCATAAAACCATTANAGATGAGAAGAGGTTTGTTTGTTTGATATGCTTGTTTTTTCTAAGATAATTTTTTTTTTCGAATTTAATTTTCAACTTTAAAAGTAAATCATTGATAGCCTCATCTTTAGTGCATTCTGACTGCAACATGAGGTTGTATCGCCAAAAAGAGCTCCCTAAATAAGAGCCTCATACAACTATTTTTAATTTTGATATTTTTTCATTATTTGACCTTTTCCACATTTGGTGCATACGTTTGCCCGGTAGCTGGGAGAGGTTTTAATGGTCTCTCCTAAAGGTTTTCTTCAAAACAAAGTCTATGAAAAAAATTCTGTGCCTCCCAAAGGTGGTTGTATATAGAGGTGGTCTTTCCTAGAAGTTTCACTGTATTAGTGAATTAATGTTAGTGAAAAATGTGATTTTTACACTCTGATGCTCTAGACCAGGGATGGGGAACCAATGGCACGTGTGTCATTTATGGCACGCCACATTATATTTTGGGCACGCTACCGATCACGAAGTTCACTGTGAAGCAATTTACCAATTAAATTAAAATTCACAAAAACAAACATAAAAAATAAACGATTATTAACAAAAAAATTACAATTAATGTCAAAAACAATTAATTACCATAAAAAACAAGCTAACAATAAATGACTAGCAAAAAAAATTAACAGACCGGCTTAAAATAACATCTTACAACCTAATATAAGATATTTGTCATCTAAACTGCAACAACAGAAGTCACATTGATGTTACTTTAAGTTGAATTATGTGTATAACTGAGACATTGCGAAATGTATTCTTTTTCATAGTAAATAAAGAGTTTTGAGTTGATAGTATTTAGTGTTATTATTTTCCCAATAATCACGAAGTCAAAATTATTTGACGGCACGTCTATGACCAAATTGAACAATTTTTTTAGAAAAAATGGCACGTTGGTGCATAAAGGTTCGCCACCCCTGCTCTAGACTTATTACTGTCTTAACGGTAAGGTTAAATAACTATTTTCTAAAATATTTTTTTACTAATTTTAATAATTATTTTATGCAGATATTTATCTTAAGCACCTTGAAGCAATAGAGTTAATAAATACGTAATGTAGTGTATTTTTTTTAAGATGAAACTTGGGTGCATTGCAGGGAAAACAGGAGATTAGAGGAAGGGACATCACATATTTCACCACCAATAGGTCAAGCAAAAAAACTGCTTGCTGACAAAAATATTTTCATATTTAGGATAGAACATATTAATTTTCAGCAATAAAAAAAATGCTTTTTTTGGGTCAGAAATTCAAAAAAAAAAAATCTGACAGAGAAGGTGTTAAGATAAATAAGGATATGATTTCTAGGTATGGTAAAACTACTAGGCGCTACACAATTTTCCAGTGCTTAAGAAATTACTATAGTTTTAAAAGGTAAATAATAAATTGGTAGTTTGTTTTCCGTTGTTCAGAATGTACTGTTAGATGTAAATTTGTGGCATCTCATTTGTTTATCGATACAATATAGCTGTTTTACTATATTTAAACAAAATTTACTTGTATATTCAGAGGCATTTTTTACACTATTTTTCCTTTTTTTACAGTTCGCTATTACATAGGACCCTTTGCCACACCTGAGTATCTGCATATCACTGCAGGTTTGCCAAAGACAAGATCTGGTAAAATAATGCGCCGTGTTTTACGAAAAATTGCAGCGAATGAGAGAGATTTAGGTGATCTCACTTCACTTGCAGATGAATCTTTGATTGAAAAATTATTTCAAAGTCGTCCAATGGTTAATTAGATTGTGGATGAGAATTAGCGCCATACTTTAAATAGTTTCAGATGAAATTTAATTGGCATTGGATTAAAAAAATCATGGTCTAAACTAAATTATTAAAAAATCATAATTTTTATATGATAAATGCATCTTTTTTTTGTTGTTGAAAAACTTCAACTATACTTATGAGAGATACTAAATTTTGTTGTGATTTTCATATGATAGTTTATAATGAAATACTTAAGTAAATTTATTATAATCTATGTTATAAGAAAAAGACAAATTGCATCATACTATCAGATAATATCCAAAAGGGGTGAGATTTAAAAAATTTTCTTAACAACTTTGGTTTAACTGTAAGCAATATTTAATGTAAAAAAAAGTTTAAAATATTTATATGATAAAAAAAGAAACTTAAAATTTCTTAGCTTTATCTATTTTTTTGTGTTTTTATAATGGAATTATATTTCTATTAATTTAAACAGGTTAAAATGCAATATAATTAATAATCATTTTTTAAAAAGAAATTTTAAGGTTTTTCGTAACTAAATTTTGTCCAACAGATACTTTATTTTGGATTATGGTGGTCAGAGAGTTAAAAGTGCTTATCAATGTTCAGCTTTTAGATGCAAGTTAAAAAAAAGAGCTGTTGATCAATAAAGAGCTGCTTTCAAACGCTGCAGATTTCATGAACTATACAGAGCTTTTTTGCAGTTGGGTTAACTAATGCAAAATAACTGGAAGTATTTAGTTAAAATTTCGCTCTTTAAGAGCAGCTTCCTATATTTATTTTGCACTCTATTACATTGTTACTAGCTATAATATATACACATTGTTTCTAAGGAAACTGATGATTGTATTGATGTTATTTACAGCTGTTGGGACATTTTTATTTGTCATATTTTGCTAAATAAATTTTGAAATGTGATTGGATAAATTCATTATTTCTTAATTCTTTATAATAATATAATTATACATATACTTTAAATAAATCTGTTTAAACAACGATTTTTATTGTGTACTTTTGCACTTTCAATTCCAAATATGTTAGTGATTTTTATATTAAAGAGCAATTGCTATGTTCTATAAAACTATGAAGAAATTAAGTTGCAATACTCCAACACTACAAGTGAGAAACAATAAACATGTAAAAAATCTAACTACAAAAATGTCTACTGAATGCAAGTTTATATACATGAAAAGTAGAGCGTTCCTGCAACAACCAGTTGTTGGCAAACAGGGTCAGGGAGGTTACAGTTTCTTGATTTAAAGATCAACTATTTGATGGAGGTAGTATGATCAGCATTGCATACTGGCAATTTTATTTTCCCAGATAAGCTAGTACAAGTAAAATTCTCATCTATAATCAGTTCAACAAAGCTAATAGTGAATTTTTAATAATGATCACAATTCCCTATAGATAGATCAATAATGATTTAAATTAATTCTAGTAGTAATAGCATTTTTTATGATTAAACAGTAGTATTTTTTTTCTTTTTTTCTGTAGGTAAATTATGTGATTCTTAGTTTCAATAAACAAATTTTCTTGCAACCTTCAGAAAATTGAAAACTTTAAGAATAATATTACAATTTTGATGTTTATAAAAAATATTTCTAATGCTTTTTCAATATTGGTCAATAAAATACAAAACATTTACTATTTTTTATACACATATATAAATAACATAATTAATTTTCGATCGATAATTGGGGGAAATTAAGAATTATTGCTTCACAGTACTTTCATGAATGATAAAATAATAAATATATTATTAATTAAATGTTAAAGACAATGGTGGGAATAATAGTAGTTTGTTTTGCTGATTTATATTTTATAAAACCAAATCCTCAAGATAGAAAAAAAAAATGATTAAAAAAAAGAATATTCATGAAATGTAGGTTTTTAATTATTTTAACCCAAATTAATGTGTAAAATTATTCAACCATGTTAGCAAAAATATATTCTGTTTTTTTTTACCCAAGTTGTGAAATGAAAATCTTTAAGAAACATAATATTTAAAGTATGGCGCTATATCTTAGTTCTAAACAAAATTTATAGGTACACTTCTTTGTCTTTGTTGTTAGAACTTAAGAGAATTGTTACAAAGAATGTTTAGTCTCTCAGTCAGAAAATTCTTGATATAGTTGAGACTCATTAAGTTAATTGGCGGTAACTTTGTAAAAAATATTTATTTTATTGGCAGTTTTGATAATTTGGGTAATTATAATATGAGATTAGTTGTTTGTGGGCCACAGAATTTTACTATCCTTATTTTTTTCAACATAAAACATATATTTATAGTTTTATTATTATATTTTATCAGTAATAATGTTCTTTTCAGATTTGTTTATTATTTCATATAAAAAGTATTTTAAATTAATTAATAAATAAAGGAAATAGCTAAAACAAACCCTCTTAAGTAATCATTAGAATTTTGACAAAATAAATGCAATTACATACACGATCATAAGTTACAAATCAAAATTTCATGACAAATAAGGTGGCAAAAATTATTTTTCTAATTTGAGCCGTTTACACTTAAAAACTTTTTGTTGAGACATCAAACTTATGGTATAGATTGTGTAAACAAGGTATTAAATTTGAAGTTATATTTTTAGTATTATTTTCAAGATTTATATATATATATAAGACAGTGAAACTGGTGTAATTTAATCCCATGAGATGAAACTATGTGATGCTCTATTAAATTCAACATAAATCTGAAAGTAATTTTTCGTTTGCCTATTCAATGCTTGATTTTAAGAGTTCAACTTTGAATCATGATCAAATACAAGAAACACTTCCGTTACAGACATTTTTTTAGTTTCTTTAAAGCACTTGAAATACTAAGGAAAACTCTTGTTATATGTAATACATATTTTCATGCAGCATATCAACGTGAAAATAATTTAAAATTTTGTAATTCACTTAATTTAAAGCACTTCCTCTTAAAATAAATTTCCAAAAGATTTTTTTTAGTTCTAATCTAATCTTTTTTTTAGTTCTAACTAAAAATCTTTAACTTTTTAAGGTGCTTACTGATTTTTTTAAGTAATTATAGTATAAAATTAATTTGATTTAATGCGTCATTTGTTGTAACCTAGTTGACATTTCGCCCAAAATATTAAACTAATATTTTTATATCTGAAATGCAGGTCTCAAATTCATTGTAATTAGTCAAGGAAATTGAAACTAAGTTAATGGGAAATAACAATTATAACAAATAAAACAATAACATAACAATTGCATCTCTACTCAAACTTTTAATTCCATGGATTTTGAGCAATGGATATTTTTTAACTGTTTATAGCTAACTTTTAATGTCTAAATTGATTGAAGGTTTTAATTTTTAGAGGTTAAGTGATCCATGTCCTGCGTCCTTCACTAATATGCCTTATTTAATGAATGTTGGATTAATACAAACGAAGAAGAATACATATTTTAATGAAAGAAAGATGATAAAAGCTTTTCATAATAAAGAATAGTAAATGTTATATTAAAATTTTATATAAATTTGAATTAAATTTACAGCAAAGAACAAATATAATATAACAGACACTCTCTTATTCAAAAATTTAATTCCTTCATTTTGAGTAATAAATATTTTCTTAAGTGTTAAAAGTAAATTTTAACAATTGAAATATTTTTATTGATCACAGCATGCATTAGTATCTAAATTGTTAAGTTATATTTTGTTTATCTTAAGATATCATGTTATGAATGTTTGGTAGTACATCTTATTTAATCACTTTTAGATCATTAAAAAAAAGAATTCCTATTTAAATGAGTGGAAAATGGCAAAAACAACTATTTTCTTTAGAAAAAAATAAGACATATTATTTGTAAATGTTAAATAATTATTTATATAAATGTAGCACTGTTGCAATATTATTAAATTTATTATTATTATTTACATAATTTAAAACGCATTTAAACAGTTAGAACTTCTATATTTTTGGTAACTTTTTTTCAAGTTTAAAGGAAGTGAATGTAAAAATTGTCCTTAGAAGTATCATTATTGTGAATCAGATTTGTGGCTAAAATTTATAATAACTTGGAAAAGCGCTTTAGATGTATAGAAATGTGCACATATTTAAGTATTTAGATGTTAACAAATGACTTTAAAAAAATGTATGGTTCGTCAAATTAAATAGTACTATTTGTTAAAAAAATATAATCATAATAAATTATGATGAAAACATATCAAAATAGATATTAGATGATGCACATATTTAAATATGCAATCACTTAGAATGTGATGATAAATTTATAAAATTGTTTGTTGATGAATTCAACAAAATAGTATTTTTGTTGAAGAAATGGAAAAGTAGTCATGAAATGATGATGAAAAACATATCCAAATATATACACATCTATAATTATTGTGATTTTTGAATATGAATTTACTGATTAGTTACTATTTGTCTGTGATTTATTAGATTAATTGTATTTCTATAAACGTTAAGTAGCCATAGGTGTATAGCGAAACTCATATCAGAATATGCAGTGACTTTGACGAAGGTGATATTGATTATATATTGCTATGTGATTTGTTGTGCTATATTCTCAAAATTTCAAGTAACTATACATCTGTGGTGAAACACATATCATATTATTTGTTATTATTTATGTATAACATCTATTGATGTAAGTTGTGTTATTAAAGGATGAAATACTGTATTCACTGTATTAAGCTTTTGTTATTTATCACCAGACAAATTCATTTCAATCAAACAAGTGAACATGCTTTAAAATTTACCCAAATGCTAAAAAAAGGATTTTAGAATTGGGAGCACTAGCAGTGGTTTCTAATAATTTTAACTCCACAAACCCTTCCACCAATAGAAAAGATTGAACTGTGTTAGTTCAGGTTTGAATGATGTGATTGGAGATCACATCAAAGTGTCAGTAAACTCTACATTCATATTTTCGGTAAGATGTATGTAACAAAAAAATTTAAAAAGCTACGCAAATTACAAATTGTTGTAAAAATAAAAATTAATCTGAAAATACACCGATTTCAAAATCAAATGCTTATTTTGTAACAGTTTTAACAATGATGTATACAAGACATATAAATATATTTGATGGCTTACAACTTATTGTATAACAATATTTAGTAAGCTCTACTACTCTCATAAGTATCACAGTGTCCACAACTGTTATGCTGGCAAATATATATATGTATATATATATCCCAAATTTTAAAAATGATGTAAAAAATGGTATTCTTATTGTCAATAAAAATATGCATAAAGCTTCATATCAAACTTAAAAAATATATCTATTAAGTAATAAACAAAACAAATTTGTTTAAATTTAAAAATTAAATAAATATTTGAAAAATATGTGAAATTAAGAAAAATATTCTAAATAAGCTGTTGGCACTTAATGTTCATGCTCTCTCTAAAACACTAAAATCATATTTTAAAAAACCAAATGTTATACCATAAACGCTACAGCATAAAAACAAACATTTTGATACATATTTCAATTTGTTTTAAAATGATTTTTTGCACTATTAAAAATCAAGGATTTTATGGTAAAATAATAATTTTTTTTTTTAAGTCACCTATTCAAATTGTTCAGCTAATAGTGTTTTTAGAGATAGGGTAATAGGATGATTTTGATGCTTTAAGGAATGGAAATCCCAGAAACTTAAAAAGTACCAATCTGGAAATAATACTAAAAAACAGTTTAATGTAAAAATGTCAACCGTGGACAAAAAATATACCTTACCCCAAGACTTCTAATTTGAATATTTGTTTTTATATAATGTCCCTAAAATAAAATTAGCTATAAACACACATAAACAGAAATAAAAAAAATAGTAAATGAAATACAGCTTTTAAATTTTTTATAACACAAGTTTTATTTTCTAACGCATATAAAATTAAACAATAAATAATGTAGAAAATCAACGTATATAAAAAATCTGTCAGAGGTATAAAAAAAAATCATAATACATTTTATAGCTACATAAATAAAATATGAAATTCTCGAAAAGTAAAACAGTCGATTGGGTATAAAACTTTATAATAATCATAATACTCGTTTAAAACTATAACATACAGATGCAAGCTAGCTGAAATCAAATTGCATTTTTTGATCTTTCAACTGTCTGGAATGTTCCAACTCTAATTCCTTTAAATTGCTTTCAAGCATTTTGAGTTCATCATACTTATGATCCACTCTCGCTTGTTCAATATACTTCTTAATAATGTTTATCTGCTGCACCATAGGGTCCATATCTTCTTTCACCTGATCTGTACTGACACACCAACCGCTATCGGGGGAGACTGGCTCCATCACTGGTGGTCTAGGAGATTTGACCGGAGATGGGCTCTTGCTTCCTTCTTTTTTACTCTGCAACATTTCGGCTTCTTTTTCCTGTTGTATTCTGCGGTGTACTTGAGCTAAGCGCTCCCTCTGGTAACGGGCAAACTCTTCTGGGGTTGGTGGGGAGGGTAAGCCTAAGATAACGTTTCTCAGGAACTGAGATGCAGCTAATCTTATGCCATTTTGAAGCTGAAGCTCTTGAGCATTTGCTTCTTCATCTGGAGATTCGAGTTTGGCTATTCTTTTACTAGAGATGAGTTATGACAATTTTAGAGATAGAAGTTTTAATATGAAGAATTAAAGAATTTTTTAAAATTATAAGAGTTTGTTTTAAATACTTTTACATTTCAATAGATTTAGTTTGTAATACTGTTCCACCAACTATTTAATATTAAAGTTGTTTTCCAAAGCAAAACACTGTATATTTATTATTTTTTTATAAAAAGCAATGAAAATTTAGTATTCTCAATATAAATTATACCTTTATGGTCATGTAATAATAAATAAAATAAGATGCTGTCCCTAACTATTTTTATTTTTTTTAAGAAAAATAGAAATATATTCAGTTTTAATTAAAGAAAGAAAATAAAGGATGTAGACATACGTGGCTTTTACACCAATCAGTAATGAGACAAGGCCAAAAAGCAAAAAAAGTTGAATTTCCATGCAGCATACATGATTTTTTAAATCATTTGGAAAAGGAAATAAACTTTTACAATTGGAATCATTATATTCATATTATAATCTAATCCAGCTAAAGCCCTGTGAAACATATTAATTATTGTAAAGTAGAAACATTTAGTAACTCCTCAACACACACAACAAATTGCTATTTTAGTGTATTAAAGTAGTTTTAATTTTCTGTTTATCTTTGAAAATCAGACGGCTGAATTTTCAGAAAAAGTGGGACACATTAAAAAAAAAGTGAAACCTTTAGAGAAAAATCGGAGCTTTCGATTAAAAAAAAAAAGGGCTGAAGTTCGAGAGACAAAAGCGAAAAACCATTAAGAAGAGGAAAAATTACATCCCTGACCAATGATTCCAAACAACTGGAAAAGAAGCAATTTGTTTTAAAAAGATTTTTTTCATTAGAAAGTTCATACATTTTTACGAAAAAACTTTCAGCATACCATTGTTAAACTCATTAATCTGAAAATAATTCTGAGGGTATAAAAATTTCAAAACTACCTGTGAGTATCAATTCTTTCTGCCAATTTTGAGATCTTTAGTTTAAGCTCTTGAGCACTTTCTATTTGGAAGTCTGTTTCACCAGAGCTGCAAAATAGTTTAATGTCCATGTATTGAAAAAATAAATTTTTAAAAATAAAAAAAAAATCTTAAAATAGATAATTGCAAAATATAAAAAAATATTAATCATACCCAAAAATACTACGAATGCCTAAAAATATGAAGAATACCTAAAAATGATATACTCGCCACATTTGTAGTCACTTGATCAGTGACTACACATTTAAAGTTAAATTGGAATAAAAAAACAGCCATATTTAATTTTTTTTAGTGTTCTAGTTTTTATTAGATTTCAATCTCTTGGAGAGTATTTGGTGAGAATTATAAAAACTATTTCTCCAAATTATTACGAATTTTTTCCATTTAGTTAAAAGGTTCATAACTTACTTTAAAGATTCAACCATGTCCATGTAAGTAGGTACAAGCTTTTCAACTTCCTCCATACACTCTTTCAACCTCTAAAAGAAAGACAAACTATTTAAAAAGAATTTCAAATAAACATCATCATTATCATTGCCACAACAGCCCCTGGAAGGCCTTGACCTTCGCTAGAACACTTTTGCATATCGTTCTCTTTGTGGCCGGGTCTCGCCAATTCAATACCTTGATGTTTTTAAAATCAGCATCAAAATCCATTGAAGAAGTATTGGATGTTCCCTAGCTCTACTACCAATTGATTTATGTTTGAAATATATTGGGCTAGTAGTATCTAAACAATAAATGTGGCCATTAGAAATAAGAGAAGATATTTTGTTGCCATCTATGAATATATATTTTAACATAATAGTTCATAGTTCACATAATAATAGTTAACTCTCCTAACTTATAAAGTTCACCTGTATAATCGAAAAAGAAATTACAACCAGCTTATGAGAACAACCAAACTTCTGAGGTGCAAGTGTTTGACTTAACAGGTTTCATTAAACCACACACATGCATAAAAAAAGCTGATTTAAAAAGTAACAACGTACATATAATACAATGCAAATTATATTAAAATCTAAATGATACTTGGCACAATATAGTTAAAAGCAAATAACGCAAAAAAATTATAATAAAAATACCATTTTCTAAATATTCCAATTCAATTATTTTAACAAAGCAAACAGTTGTTTAAATAAGTAAATGAAAGTAGTGTCGTAGTAGCTACATGTCGAGTTTTGCGTAACATCTCTTATTCCTAAAAAAAAAACATTTCTTGAATAGATATAAATTTTTCCAATTTTTTTATACTCAAAGAAAAACTGCAGACTAATACTGCAACTCCATGGTACAATCCAGGATGATATATGAAATGAGAAAGAAAAAAATGAACTGAACATCATGCATAAGCTGACCAGTGTCCTTAAGAAACTAAAAACTGGTAGTAAAATTTTTATGTGAAAATATAAACACTAACTGCTTTATCTTTTCAAATAATTTTTTTTTTAGAATGCAAGAATTCTCTAACAAAAACAGTATTTTTAAAAAGGCAAAAAGGTGAGTTTTTAAATGTGTATTTAGAAATTGCATTTAGCAACCAGTGGTCACTTGAACTATGCACTACTATTATAAAAGTACAAGAAATATAAAGAAAAATAGAACCATTTTACGATGGTATAGCAGATGAGGAGGATAAAAAAAAATTAATAAAAAATTCAAACATTCTGTACTATTGCAAAGGGAGAAAAAGTATAAAAAAAGATAATTTTTCTATGTAATAGTAGAGAAAAATTTGTATAACTATTCTCTTACTTATTAAAAGACTATGTTATGGCAGTAAAAACAGGAAGATAACTTAAGTTTCCTTTTTAAAAATGTAGGCCTTTCAACTGCTGAGTGGTAAAATTTTTTGCATAATAAAAGTTTTAAGAGTTTCCTTTTTAATCAAAATACTCGACTAATAGTAAACAGTCGATTTGAAGTTCAGGAGAAGAATTTATTTGGATTATCAATGAAAATTGACTTATCAAGCTTCGAGTAACAGAGAAAATATACAATATTGTAGTTGAAATTAATTTGAGGAAGGGAAGTTCAATTTAACATTTATTACTCACGTAACAAGAACTAGTAAAAGTAACGGTAAGAGCAAACAAGTGAATTTCACAGTTACAACTAAACTAAAACTGCAAACAAGATACTTGCTAAATCAAAAGTTCCAAATCCATGACTTTCACAACCCATTTTAAATGATTTACATGGGCAACTATTTTCTGTGACAGTTTGCTTACTTTTGCTGACAAGGGATGTTAGAGGCTTAAAATGAGTTAAAATATGCTTGCGTATTATTGGAACAGTTTAGTAATTAGTGAGAAACAAAATTAGTGATGAGTTAGATTGAAAAACAAACATAAAAGTATTATAATGGGGAGAGTGGGAGAGAATAGTCCATTTCGTACCAAAACAATAGAGAAAAAAGGAGTTTCAGAAGAATTATGGGTTTTAACACGTAAAGTACATGACAAACTGGCAGTTATCATGCTTTTGGAGCTTTTCTTTTCATTAATAACCATTATTTTCCATGACACATTTTGACCACGGTCAAAATCTATGACTTTTCAGGTGCATGGATACTCCATGTGAATATACTACTCAGATTACAAATAAAGAATTTTTTAAATTGATGCAATACATCTAAATTGTATAAATAAAAATAACACATTTTGAAATGTAAAGATTTTTACCTCATATATTTGGACAATGATAGGCCTGTGATTCTTTTGCTCTATCAATTTTTCATGCCTTACTAATAAAACTTGACAGTCTTTGCATATTCGAATTTGCTGCTCCCCACCAATATTAACTGCAGACATTAAACTTATGGTGCTGTTTCGCCGTGAAGAAGTTTGTTTCTCCAATAGTTTCTGGTCATCAGATATGGCAGGTAAAATAAGTTTTCCTAAAAATAAAATAAATCACAAGAATAATATAGTAAAACATTGCAAGAGTAATATAGGATAAACAAAAATAAAAAAAGATATGACTATAGTATAGTTAATTATTACAAAAATAAACACTTATTCTAGTTTACTAAATTTCATACATAAATAAATTTAACAAAACAATATGTATTTAAAAGTGATTTTTTTAAAATTTGTTTTCAACTTATATAAAAACACAGCGCAGGGAAGAAAAGACAAGAAGCAAATCGAAAACAATGACACTGCAAAAATGACTATTGTAACATTAAAGTTTGCTGTGTAAGTTGAGCATGAGCGGTAAATTGTTTTAGTTGTTAACTTATCAAGTAAATAATTGTGCTTTTATATCATGTTTTTACATATATTTGTATAATGTATATAATATACATTATTATAGTTTGTCCACAAGTATAACTCACAAAAGAGTTTGGGCTAGCTTTCAATACTATGTTTCCAATTTAGTTAAATTATAATACTCAATAAAATAACATAGGAGATTCACATAAAGTTTTTTTTCTTCTTGGTCAAGTTAGGAGGGGTTCATAATAGCAAGCATTCAATGCACTTTTATGCAAATTTGACTTAATTTAGTAGTCAACATACAAGATAGATAAGCAGACATACTATAAAGGTTTTGCACTCTTTTAGTATAAAAAATAAACTTGTTTCTTTGCAAAAAAATAAAAAAAGTCAACAGAATTCACTGTCACTGAATGGAATGAATCTCTTTGATGCAATAATGCCATGTGGTGCAGGTTATCAGTTAATTGAACAAAAAAAAGGTCTGTTTTGAAAGACCAGTCTTATTTATTATTTAATCATGATTTTTTTTCCATCAAAAATATAAGACATTCTACAAGAATAACAATCAGAAATAATAAAAACACATGGTAAGGACATAAACATAATCTTCTAAGCAAAATACTAACTAGCAAAATCATAGGTCATGAAAAAAGAGCAAGATTGGCACATAACTCCACCACAAAGTCTGCAATGGTGCCTTCTTCTAGAGAGACCAAATGATTTAGCACATCCAGGACAAAGTGGTACATCACTATCTGCAACCCATGGCACTATACTTTTCTCAAATTCTGAAATTAGAAAGAAAAATATGTGTTTATTCTAACAGACTAAATGTTTTCTGCGATAAATGCTAAAAATCTAACAAACCTTTTCGCTTTTCTGGATCACTAGAAATATCACAGATAAGTTTGTCTAATCGTATTAGAAGGGTGTTGGTCTCAATTACGTATCTATCAATCTTTTTGTCTCTTAATTTCTTGAAATAGTGAGTATGACTTGTTACAAGACCTGGGAAAGAAACACACAAATGTAATTTTTATTTTTTCTAAAATCATGAGAGGTGACCACGAATTATAAATAATATGCAATGAAAAATAAATTTCTTTCCCTTTTTATTATTTTAATAAAAAATGGATAAAATCAATTTTAATACAAAAATTGATTTGAAATTACATGGAAATGGATTTACTACATCACTTATAATATACCATTGTTGTGTGTTAATCTTTCCTCATTTCTGGCAAAAATTAAATGTAGAAGGGGAGTGGATAAACAGGCAGATAAGCATAAGTCTTAAAATAGAAAAAACAAACAAACATAATTCCATTATTTCATCATTTACCTTTAAAGTATTGTTACATAGAATGAATATGAATCAGTCCTGAAAGTTGAAGAGATTTATTGAGAACAGGATACAGGTTTTACAGAGATTCAGGTTTTTTACACGATACAGAAATAATTTTAAACCTAAAAAGTTTTCATTTTGACTTGATGCAAATGTAGAATTATACTTGAAATTAATAAATAAATGAGAAAATTTTTTTATATATATACATATATATATATATTATATAATAGCTTGCATACACCAACCTTTTAAGATTTCATACTTTTATAGTAATTTCTAACAAAGCTTGTCCTCAGTTGAGAGTTTCTATTTTGTTGTCCACTTATTAACCTTTTGCTTACGGCTGGTACAACATGTGGACCACATGTAACGGTACGAACGGTACATCGTAAGCCAAGGGTTAACAGGATGTGATTAAGTTGGAATCATATTTAACTGCTGCTGGAAAAGGTAAGGAATCATTCTTGCAATTGCTTTTGTGAGTGATGAAAAAGGCAACTGATATGAATTAATTTGATAGAGGGCAGATTGTAAAGGCCTGAAGACTCAGAATGAGTATCTCTGAAACTGCATGAATGGTAAGTAGTTCAAGATCTGTCTTAAGTATTAATGCAAAGTGAATAAATGACAGTGGAACCAGAAGTAGACGCCAAGGCGTAGGACACTGGAGATTGTCTAGCTTAGTATAAAGAAATCGAACGCAAGACAGTGGCTCAGCTAACGCCCCAATACAATGCAAATCTAAATGGAATTAAATTTTGAAACAAAAGGTGCAGAGGACACTGTTGGATATAGAATTGCACAGAACGAGCACCACAGCTATGCCTCTGTAGACCGAGCATCATTGTCAACTATGCTTAGAGTGAACCTGGGAACATTGATACTAGAGCATGGCTAAGTGAACCGTGGATGGTTGTCCATTCAGAAGAATCACGGTTTCTCATTCATCACATTGACACTCGTGTCAGGGTACGCCGTCTTCCAGATGAACAGTTGTTGCAAACATATACTACAAATCATACACAGCCTGTTGGTGGCGGCATTATGATTGGGGATCGTTCTCATCGGCGACTCTAAACAGATTATGAAACCTGCAGAATTTCTGAACATAATCGCGGACACCCATACAGAGTAACTGTTTTCCCAACTGGAAATGGAATCCTTCAGCAGGACAACATCTCCAAGCACTAACTTCATATTGTGTTGGAGTGGTTCGAAGATCATAATGAAAAATTCTTAATTCAGCAGAAGACATTTAGGATGTCATAGAAAGATAGCTCAGAGATCAAACACCATCACGTTGGAATATCTCGACTTTGTGTGACCACTGCTTTAACATTTGGTGCTACCTGTATCCAGTTTCTCCAGTAGTAAGAAGGTATGTAAATAAAGAATTTTCTGTTCAATTTGGACAGCGACATGACATTGAATAGTTAATATCATTATAAAACTCACCGATTTCTTGTGAAGCCCATGAAGTTTCTGCCACCACAGGTTGAACATACTTGGTATCTAATTCAAAAGGAGATTTACTTAATTCTTCGGTCCAAGAGTCCTGCTTTAAGATTTTTTTCTTAGCTTTTCCTTAAAAATAAAAANTACTTGTATATTAATTTCTAACAAATCTTATGCTTAGTTGAAAGTTTCTATTTTGTTGTCCACTTTTTAACAGGATGTGATTAAGTTGGAATCATACTTAACTGCTGATGGAAAAGGTAAGGATTCATTCTTGCAATTGCTTTCGTGAGTGATGAAAAGGCAACTGATATGAATTAATTTGATAGAGGGCAGATTGTAAAGGCCTGAAGACTCAGAATGAGTATCTCTGAAACTGCACGAATGGTAAGTAGTTCAAGATTTGTCACAAGCATTTATGCAAAGTGAATAAATGACAGTGAAACCAGAAGTAGATGCCAAGGTGTTGGACACAGGAGATTGTCTAGCTTAGTATAATAAAATTGAACGCTAGACAATGGCTCAGCTAATGCCCCAACACAATGCAGATCTAAATGGAAGTAATTGGAACAAAAAGGTGCAGAGGACACTGTTGGATATAGAATTGCACAGAACGTGCACCACAGCTGTGCCTCTGTAGACCGAGCATCATTGTCAACTATGCCTTGAGTGAACCCTGGGGACATTGATACCAGAGCATGGCTAAGTGAACCATGGATAGTTGTCTATTCAGAAGAATCAAAGTTTCTCATTCATCACATTGACACTCGTGTTAGGGTACACCGTCTTCCAGATGAACAGTTGTTGCAAACATGTACTACAAATCATACACAGCCTGTTGGTGGCGGTATTATGATTGGGGGTTGTTCTCATTGGCGACTCTAAACAGATTATGAAACCTGCAGAATTTCTGAACATAATCGCGAACACCTATACAGAGTAACAGTTTTCCCAACTAGAAATGGAATCTTTCAGCAGGACAACATCTCAAAGCACTAACTTCATATTGCGTTGGAGTGGTTCGAAGATCATAATGAAAAATTCTTAATCCAGCAAGAATGAGATCTTAATCCAGCAGAACACATTTAGGATGTCATAGAAAGATAGCTCAGAGATAAAACATCATCACGTTGGAATATCTCGACTTTGCGTGACCACTGCTATAACATTTGGCACAGCCTGTCTCCAGTTACCAACCAAGAACTTGCAGCATTCATGGCAGGGGAAGTTGCAACTGTTTTGAAGGCCAAAGGAGGTGCAATGCATTAGCAAGTAGCGGGTCATAAGGTTTTGGCTCTTCAGTGTATAAGTTAGTAAGAATAGTAGTTAATAAAAAATAGCATTATTCGTAAGTAATGGGTATCATATTTTACTATTCTTTATAAATATAATATTTCATACAATTTTATGTAGTTCTTTTTTAGATTAAATCAATAAAATAATTCAGTGTTATATGATATTTAAAACATTAAATGATAATAACATAATAAAGTCATAATATAATGTAATTAAATATTCTTCTAAAATAAGTTCAAACATTTATGTTACCTAATTAAATCATATTGAATAACATGCAGTAGTAAGAAGGTATGTAAATAAAGAATTTTCCGTTCAATTTGGACAGTGACATTACATTTAATAGTTAATATTGTTATAAAACTCACCGATTTCTTGTGAAGCCCATGAAGTTTCTGCCACCACAGGTTGAACATACTTGGTATCTAATTCAAAAGGAGATTTACTTAATTCTTCGGTCCAAGAGTCCTGCTTTAAGATTTTTTTCTTAGCTTTTCCTTAAAAATAAAAATTATATTTTGAGAATTTTGATATTAGTGTTATGCTACAAAAAAATAAAATAATATTAGGTTGCAATGAAAGTTTCTTGCTAATGATAATATTATCTGAGCAAACAGTTTGGGTTGGCAGGTTCTTTCATATTTCGTCAGACAATTTTTGGCTCTTGAAAGAAAGAGACTTGCTATGTTGTGAAATCTGTAAAAAAATATCATTATTATTCAGAGCAAGGTGTGGAGCTATCATACAACCAGGTTAGAACTGTTGTTTACTTCCCATTCTGTTGCAAAAAGTCAGCTACAGGATGTCACCAAATAAACACAAGGACAACATTCAAGATTGAAAATTCATCTAACACATTATCTACATAATAAAGCTAATAATAATTAAATGAAGAAAAAAAATTGTAGCAGTTCAATAAAAATTGCACAATAATATTTATTTGTTTTATTTTTGATTATGTAGTTTATAATGTTCATTTAGAAAAATTCAAATTTTTGGATTTTCTCAAAATTTTTCTTTTGTTTCTTATAATTCAAATTTGATTATAATGGTTTAATAGTACAATATTATTTATACAGTTTATTATTAATGATTATTTTCAATATAATTTGCAATTGTTAACTATCATATAGTTTGTAATTTAAAATATCACTACTTTATGCAGTTTAATTGATTTTTGTAGTAATAAGACAAAGTTAAAATGAAAATAATACTGGTAAAAAATTATATTTTTTTATAGTAGTTTTAAATGTCTAAAGCAGTAGTTCATTTTTATTGCGTTTTGAAGACCGTGAAACATGCAGTTAAAAGAAAAATACAGTCTAACCTCAAAATCACAAACATTGTTAGTAAATATATTTAGTCTGAAAGGTTTTCCCTTTCCATTATCAAAATAGCAGATGTCAGATTTTTTGTATTATTGAACCATTTTTCTTTGTTATTTTGAAGAGTTGCTTAATGAGACTGTATGGAAGAACAGAGAATTCTTAATTAATCAAAAGTCATTTAATGCTTAAAGTGAAAAATACAAATAAAAGAAGAAAAAATGAGACCAAAAATTAGTAATAATTACTTTTAAAGTATCATTTTCGGATTCTGTTAACTCATACAATTAAAAAAACTATCTCTAAATAAATAAACTTTATCTACAAATTTAATATTTCAATCTTACACACTTGTAAACATGATGAAATAGGCTAAACTGGCAAAGTCTAAACCAGAGCTGGATTAAGCAATATTTGCAAGCAGGGCCCTAGGCTATTTAAAATTTTGGAGCCCTTAGATAAAAAAAATTTTCTCACATATTTTTTACTTATTCAAATATAAAAGTAATTATATATCTCTTCGTTTAAGAAAGCATATTTAAAATTAAAATTAAATTTTAATGAGTAATAAATAAATATTATTAACATTACATAAAAAAATTATCATATTTCATTAATACAGTCGAACCCCGCTATAGTGAACCTGGGATATAATGAACACTCGGATGTAGTGAACTTTTTTAGCGGTCCCGTCCGTATTCCTATTTAAATAATGTTATTTTTAACGCTTATAGTGAACAGCTTAGAACTTGGAAACTCGGTTATAGTGGACTCAAATTTCATTTCTTTAAATATCTTTTTCAGTCCTCCATCTTTAAACTTGTAGGTGTTGGGACTGAAAATGAATGCATTCCTATAAAATGTGTCATATTACTCTCCTTTATGCTTATCACTTTTAACTATACTGTAATAAATGTCAAACAGATCATTTATCTTATACTCCCCCCTCCCTGACAAGCCTCGCTTTATCTCTTTTCCCCAAGCTTGCTCTACAACTAGTTAACTTGGCCACCTGCTGAATTTTTGGAATTTTCTTATCTGTTCAAACCATATTCTTTACAAATCACCCCTTGACAATCAAGAAGGGGAACAATTTAACTCATTCTACAGCTGCTCTCTTCATATTCTTACATTATCTATTTGAGACAAGATTTTTATTTCAAAAGCAGTGAAAATGGCAAATTCTCTAAAGAGAAAAGCGTTTTCGATAGAGGACAAAGTTAAAATTGTAAAGCGTATTGATGATGGAACCAATCAATCGACACTGTGTAAGGAATTTTCCTTGTCAAAATCTACAGTTTCAAACATTTGGAAAAATCGAAGTGCAATTCTTGCGGCATACGACAAAAACATGGTTTCATCGAAAAAACTGCGTGGAGCTGAAAGAGAAAACGTAGAAGATGCTTTGTTAAGATGGTTCGAAATCTTGTTCAAAATGTAAAAATCTTGCATTCTTTGCACATTGTAGATAAGAAAATTGATGAACTCAATTTAAAATCAAATTGTGTTCAATCAAAAATCACAAATTTTTTTCATAAAAAGTGAAAATAAAACTAATATTTAGCGACGTAATTACTTTTTCCATCAATTTTTGCTTTATTATCTGTTAATTAGTTAATAATTTTTTAAATAACTTATGCAAAATTGCAAAGCCAATTTTCAATCATTCAACTGTCTTATGCAAAAAATATTCTTCAAAAAATTTGGATATAGTGAACCATCGGTTATAGTGGACGCATTACTGAGTTCGCAGACGGTTCACTATAGCGGGGTTCGACTGTATATATTTGAAATTTATTTTCAAAAAATCGATCTTGAGGGGGCCCCAGGCCATGGCTTAGTCTGGCCTAATGGGTAATTCGGCACTGGTCTAAACCAAAAACATGAAATGCAACGGCAAATGTTATAATTATATTTAGACTTCCTCTTCCTATAATTTGTTATCTCTAAGAAAAGTTTACAGAAAAAAAATTTACTCCCACTGATATTCAATTTATAATGCCAACTACTCTTATGCTGTTCATAAAACCCTCCTTACCTAAGAAACCTTTTAATGTTTGAAACACATCATGATCGTCAGAGGAATGGTTAACTTCAAAGTGCTCTTGCAATTGATGCACTGTTTTCAGATCACATAGACATATAGGACACAAAAGACCTTCGCGGATTTCTTCATTGGTCCCAGAAGAGTTTGCCATCTAGCAATAACTAAAGAATATAGAAATTGTTTTAAAATTCAATTTTATATCATAGATACAACACAAACTTTGCTTTGTATATAAATCAAAAGACACAATTTTAACTAAAGAATAGTACAAGTATTTTTAAATTTTTTTTTTGGGCCAATTCAAACATTTATAAATTTCAACTTTAGCAAACTTTAAAAGCATAGAACTCGATTAAAAAAAATTTGATTAGTTTTAATAATTTTTGTGAAAATAAGTCTTGGTGTCATTTACACTTACCTTAATTTTTAAAAACTTTAAAAAAAAAATTATTAGAACTGCTCGAATTGTTTTTAACCGAGTTACATACTTTTAAAGTCTGCAGAAAACGTATTTCGTAAATTGTGGAATTGCCCTCTTATAATTTTCTTGAGTACCTACAATAAATGTACATCACTATTTAAATAATAATTGATTTAGGAGAGAAAAAAATACAACAATCAATTCTAGTGAATTTTGAATTCTAAAATAAGGAGATATTACAAATGAAATTTATTAAAGTATATTTAAAGCCCATTTGGGTTTAACCTGGCACCATTGCAATAAAGAATTCCCGGCCTCTGGTCTTAAGGTATTTTTAATGTGAACAAACATTAAAAAAAAAAAAATTTCTGAATAAAAGAGAAAATATTTTGTCAATAACCTAGAATGAAAGACATTAAGTGTTTAAGAGCCAGCTTTTTTAAAAACTGGGCAAATCAGGCAAGGTTAGATACTTGAAATTTTTGATTTACTCAAAATTTTTAGGTATTTTTTTTTCACTTTTATTCACAAAATAAAAAAAGTGTTTAGGGTTTTGGGAGGTTAAAACTGGATACTCTGAAATTTTGAGAAAACTCATATATTTACATGTAGTAATACTTTTCTGTGAAATGAATAAAACACTGCACCGACCATTACTTTATGTTCTACTACTTCAACACTAACTATTAAGAAGTAAATACGTTCAGTCAGCCTATGCATGGAAGGTCAACTGTCATTCAAAAATTATCCAAATAAGGCCATTTTCTTAAACTTTGAACATAAAAATCAATTTGTTCTAACAGTGAATCACACAGATGAGTTTTTCTGTGAATGTACATTAAATAGTACGTAGTATACCCCCCCCCCAAAAAAAAAATATCAATGCCTGTCTGGTGTACATTTGGTGTGACCTTAAAAGGTAGCAAGAAACTGACAACATTAAAGGTCATTAACTTCCTCCTTCAAAATTAGACATTATGAAATTTACTGAAAAGTAGTCTTAAGAATAGAAGAATCAAAATCAATCCACAGATCTATAATTAAACTTTTATATGGTTAGGGGTCTGTTCAGGCATTTTGTGAAAGGTCCATTTTTGTAAAATTGTGAAAATATTACTCGTAATTTGTGAATGTAAAATAAACGTCAAGTCAAATTCTTTCAACCAGGGTGCTGCTTTTGTGAAAATAGGGTCCTGTTATTGCAAAAAACTTTTTCAAGGAGTTTTTAAATTGTTAAGAGGTACAAGATTATGTTCAACAATGTAAAACTATAGTTAAAAAAAATTTTATTTCAAAAAATAAACAGCAATTGCTGCTACCAAATTAGAGATGCAACATACAAATATTTGATATTCAGCCTGTAGCGCTGAATGCAGAATATTCATTTCGGACAAATAAAGGAAGAAGCGTCTGCTGAAGACAAAATTTAGTTTGTTTACATCTGCCTTTCTTTCCCCCCACTCCCCTAGGAAGGGTTTATTCAATTAACAAACAATAATGAAGATAAACAAATTTGTGAAGGGTCCGATTAAAAGATAAATTATTTTGGGAAGGGTTTGTTTTTATGAAAAGATATTTTATGAAGGGTTCGTCAACGGACCTAAATTTCTTCTAAACAGACCCCTGCTTGTTTTGCCCTAAACTTTGAGTTCTGTACCTGAGTAATCAAATATAGAAATAGTGATGGAAAAGCTGTTAATCGTTTTAAAAAATGTGATTTACGCCTAATATGAATATCTGAAGTTAACAACCTCGCAAGAGGTGAGGATCAGTCTCTATCTACACTGATTATCATAATTAAGGAAAAATTACAAAATAGTTATAATTCTCCCAAAAATATGCCAATCCCATTAAAATTTGAATATGTTGTCGAATATGAGTAGCTAAATATAACTGCTATATGTAAATTAGTGGTGCTGCAATAGAATGACGAGTCCTTTAAAATGAGCATAAAATATGTTTGATTGCAAGCCTGCAAATTTGCTGTTACTGAAAATTAGGAATTTGAGATAGCTAATTTGTAACAGTGTCCACCAGGCATCATTTCTCTGAAGAACTGTAAAGGAGACCTATTGGAAGACTAGAGGCAGGACAAAGTTAGATAGAAGTGGTCAGAAAGCTAAATGTGAGTCCTTTTGCAGTTCATAGACTTCGGCAACAATTTCTAAGAAGTTCGGCATTCAGAAGGTTTAACCTTTCTGAATCCTCTTTTTTTTAATGAGAGGTCACGCGCGTGAAATTAGAGTCTACAGTATTCTCTGGATGCACCCTGACGGGGGCGGGACGAGGTTAAGCTTTGATTCAGAAGGTATAGCCAAAGATAGCCAAATGCTACAACGAGAGCTGATGACCGATATTAATCGTTATGGGCATGATGGAATAGAACCGCAACTCTCAGTCAGCTCAGATCCTCTCGCAGTGCAACCACCATAAGATTTTATTTTATTTTAAAACCGTTGTTGAACAGCCAATCCAATTTTTTGGGGCCCCCTATTATATGAACTAATTTTCAACTCCATAGTCTTGTAATTTTGAACCCAATCCAGAAGACATCAGAATTCTCGGATCAAGTATCGGGAGAAATTTGCCTTCGTTTTTAACGTATTAACCAGCATTTGCGTTACATGGAGAGAAAAACCTTCCACGGCTAATCTGATGGCAAGGGGGGTCTAATCCACGATCCGTCTACCATTGAGGATATTTCACATCAGCTTTGCCGTTCGGTATGAGCAGGGTGCGAATTCGTATCGACCAGCCATCGCTGGGATTCGAACCAGGTTCACCTCATTGGAAGGCGAACGCTCTATCCCCTGACCTACCATGGCTCCCAACAGAAGATTGGGGTCAACGCCTATTGCACGTAAAAGAGTTCCCAAATGTGGTTTATTGCTGGGTGACCAGCCATTTGCAAGCCACTCTCACCATTAGAGGTGGGCACAGCAACATGTCCACTGGAAGAATTTTTTTTTTTTTTGCAGATGAGTTTAGGTTTAGCTTCCAAAACGATAGTTGATGTTGTTTGATTTGGAGAAAACATGGAACCTGATATCATCCATTATATATTTGTGAAATAGATGCATACCAAAGGCAGTGCTTGTATGTTAGGTGGTATCACGTTTGAGTGGAAGCATAGACCCACATTTCGTTTTACGTGGAACCGTGAATGCTCACTTGTATAGAGATGACATTCTTGATATTTTTGTGCGCCCTTATGCTGGTACAATGGGTGATGATTTTGTGCGACAGGACAACAACGCAACGCTGCACGGGACTCGTATCATGGATAATTATCTTCAACAGCAAACAATTCAACACATGGAGTGGTCAGGTCAATCACCAGACTTGAAACCTATCCAGCACACTTGGGATGCTTTAGGAAAACGTACAGCTGCTCTCTATTCTCCTCCTCAAACCCTTGTCACGCTTGCAACTGCTTTGCAAGAACAATGGCTTGCAGTTCCAATGAAACAGATAGACCGCATAATTGAAAGCATCACAGATTGCTGTATTATTAATCCTAATGATTCGAGAGAATAAATATGAATTGAATATAGTTAGGAAAGAAGAAAAATTATTTTTAAGTCAGTTGGAAAATTTCAAATGTAATTTTTTAATTAATGTAATTAACATTTTAAAAATTCGAAAAGTCATTTTTAAAAAAAGTTCAACATATAATCATGTTAAATTACAGTAATTTTTCTTATATTCATACATAATTTCATTACATAGATATATTTATATAATATACAAAATTTCTCAAAAGTAGAGCTTTTAGAACTTATATAGTAGGAGGCCTACGGGAATTATGATATTTAAAAAGTGGTTCAGTTAAATTTTCGCACGAAAAAAAGCAATGTTCTCTACAAAATATTTATCCAAAGCAGTTTCCCTACAAATTTTAAAAAGTTTAACAGAAAAAAGAGATTAGAGATTAAAGAGAGATAGATTCATAGAACACAGAATAGTTAATGATGTAACAGAGCAAACCTTTTTAAAAAATAATTTCAACGTAGAAAAAAGAAAAGAAAAGTCATAAGAATAGATAAGTAAAGATGTTCCACTTTCGCTCAAGAATAGATTATAAATGAGATTATTACGTAGTCAAGCTCTTATTTAGGTTAACAAAGATATTATTTAAAATTTAATTGAAGATGTTTTAGTTTAATNAGCCTTGTAATTTTGAGTCCAATCCAGAAGACACCGTAATTCCCGTATCAAGTATCGGGATAAATTTGCCTTCGTTTCAAACTAATTAACCAGCATTTGCGTTACATGGAGAGGAAAACCATAAAAACCTTCCACGGCTAATCTGATGGCAAGGGGGGTCTAATCCATGATCCGTCTACCATTGAGGATATTTTACACCAGCTTTGTGGTTCCGTACAAGCAGGGTGCGGAATTCGTATAGACCAGCCATCGCTGGGATTCGAACCAGGTTCACCTCATTGGAAGGCGAACGCTCTATCCCCTGACCCACTATGGCCCGCAAAAGATGATTGGTGGCAATGCCTATTGCACGTAAAAGGCTTCCCAAATGTGGTTTATTGCTAGGTGACCAGCCATTTGCATGCCACTCTCACCACGCCATAGAAGGGAAACATTTGAGGTGGGTACTGCAACATGTCCACAGGAAGACAATTTTTTTTTTTGCAGCTGAGTTTAGGTTTAGCTTCCAAAGTGATAGTTGATGTTGTTTGATTTGGAGAAAACATGGAACCTGATATCATCCATTATATATTTGTGAAAGAGATGCATACCAAGGAGGCAGTGTTAGTGTGTGAGGTGGTATCACTTTTGAGTGGACGCATAGACCCACATTTCTTTCTACGTGGAACCGTGAATGTTCACTTGTATAGAGATGACATTCTTGATATTTTTGTGCGCCCTTTTGCTGGTGAAATGGGTGATGATTTTGTGCGACAGGACAATAACGGAAAGCTGCATGGGACTCACTCATCATGGATAATTATCTTCAACAGCAAACAATTCAACACACGGAATGGTCAGGTCAATCAGGCCAGACTTGAAACCTATCCAGAATGTTTGGGATGCTTTAGGAAAACATACAGCTGCTCTCAATCCTTCTCCTCAAACCCTAGTCACGCTCGCAATTGCTTTGCAAGAACAATGGCTTGCAGTTCCAAAGGAACAGATAGACTGCATAATTGAAAGCATCATAGATTGCAGTATTATTAATCCTAATGATTCGAGAGAATTAATATGAATTGAATATAGTTTGAGAAGAAAAATTATTTTTAAGTTACTTGGAAAATTTCAAATGTAATATTTTTAAAAATACGAAAAGTCATTTTTTTAAAAAAAAGTTCAACATATAGTCATGTTAAATTACAGTCATTTTTATTATATTCACACATAATTTCCTTATGTACATTTATATAATACGAAATTTCTCGAAAGTAGAGCTTTTAGAACTTATATAGTAGGAGGCCTACGGGAATTATGATATTTAAAAAGTGGTTCAGTTAAATTTTCGCACGAAAAAAAGCAATGTTCTCTACAAAATATTTATCCAAAGCAGTTTCCCTACAAATTTTAAAAAGTTTAACAGAAAAAAGAGATTAGAGATTAAAGAGAGATAGATTCATAGAACACAGAATAGTTAATGATGTAACAGAGCAAACCTTTTTAAAAAATAATTTCAACGTAGAAAAAAGAAAAGAAAAGTCATAAGAATAGATAAGTAAAGATGTTCCACTTTCGCTCAAGAATAGATTATAAATGAGATTATTACGTAGTCAAGCTCTTATTTAGGTTAACAAAGATATTATTTAAAATTTAATTGAAGATGTTTTAGTTTAATAAAATACGACTGATCATTATAATTAGAAGATCAGATGAACAGCTTTAAGAGAATGACCGAATGTGATTCATGCATGAACGAAATATTCGAAAAGAATCTTTCAAATAATAACTAGATAATATTTTAAAAATAAAAACAAACAGTCATACTTAATTTTTATTTCACACATAGATGATTAATACAATTTGTCCAGCTGATTTGCTATTTTGACAGTGTGAAAAAATTTTGACATCGAAACTGTACCACCTAATTTTCTTAATATTTACAAATATTTCAACTAGTGATGCCAAAATAATATTTATATAAGCAATTTTAAATATTTATTATCAACTTTTAAAATTTAACAAACTGACGATAAAACAAATTTTGACATTTAGTTAAAAATTATTAAAATGAAAATCTATGAAGCGTCTTTATATATTAAAAATTAATTTATTTTCATATATTGAAATGAAGAAATTATCACCGTCGTCTGGTCCTGTTTCTCTTTTTCTTGCTCATCGGTTGCACCGGCATTCGGGTTCTTTTTTAAATTGTATATTCTAATTTCTAGTTTAACTTACTGTTTTCCTTTTATGTTTTTACTTTTCTGTATATGTCTAGTTAATATTACTTTCCAGTCTAATAATTACACAAACATGATACTTTCATTAATCATTCTTTTAAAAAATATAATTAATTGATTTGTGAAATATAATAATTTGTGAAATAAATCACAAACAAAGTGATTATATGTGTCATCTGATAATTTCAGAATAAATTTTTCATGGATCAATATTCTATTAAAAAAATCTCACTTCGCCGTGTTTGCTCCTTTTTTAAGAATAATGAATTATGGATGGTTTCGTAAATTTGAACCTAAAATATATTAAAGATATTGGTTACCACTGTTATTAACAACTGCAATTTTTTTGTTACGGAGTAAAATTACAATAAATTTTTCTAATAATTTATTGACCATTTTCCTGTATTTATTAATTATTATATGTACTTTTTTGGTATTTGTTAATCATAACATATAATAGTGAAGAAAGCTTTTTATATTTATAATCCTTACTTTTTATTTAATATAGAAGTATGGATTCCATTAAGCATCATTTCAGTGAACTGCTCTTAAGGTGGAGTTTAGATGTATATCAAAGTTACGAATGGGCACTTAGTTTTTCAGGTAATTTTCATTTAATATTTTTTGCCAATGTATTTTGATCTAATTTGCTGTAATTTGTAACATTTTGCTCTACTTTTTAAATTATACTATTTTTTATTGTTATAAAAATTGTATAAAACAAAGTTTCTTGTATTTGATATTTAAATTTCAAATTTATTTTTTTAATAGTTATGATATCTTGATGACCAATGACATAAATATTACTGCTAAAAACTGGAGTTTAACTTTGCCAAACCACTAATAAGATTAATAGGCAATCGCAATGCCTGAATATGTTACAAATGAATCAAGATTAAATATTTAATAACTTAGATATTTAATCTTGATTCATTTGTAACATCTGAGGTCAACTTTTAAGAAGTGGTCAATATTTAAGAATTTCCATAATTTGGATACTTAAAAATAAATTCTTTGTTATTTTTGAAATTGCCCTATGTAAAGATTGCAATGATATGTGAATTTATTTAGGAATCTATTTCAGAAGATGAGAATTCTAAAATAAAATAAAACGAAGTAGGAAGATAAAGTGAACATTTGTTGCTTTATTCAAAATTATTATTATTTTTAATTATATATAGCATAATATATATTTTAGCATACATTTTTAACAGTATATATACCTGTGTTTTAAATTAATATTTTAACTGCACTGTAAATAGCTTCACACGCTTTATGACATTATGAATATCATTAGTTATTGATGGTTTTTACCATTTTTTTATATGATTTAAACCAGTTTTTATCATTTGACATGTCAAATATCAGTTTTTGATGTCAAAAATCAAACCCTGGTTGCCCTTTATGAACAGCTGTTGCTGTATATGTCTTGTCTTGTAACTCATAACAAAGGTGTATAAAATACCAAACAAACCCCCATATTCTATTAAGCTCCCACCCATAGTCTCATATGAATATTGGCCAGCAATCAAAACCAAATAAGCTCTCATCCACCTCTTGCATCCAAAGTTAGATCGTATAGAAGCATGCCATGCACGTATACACCCGCATAAATTCTTAAATTTTCCAAATTCTCCTTTTAAATTTAACTGAAGCGCCCATGCTATTTAAATTATACATCAGGTTTCAAATTAGAGTGATTTAATAAATCAAACATCGTGACTTGTATTCACATTGTTAAATATTCACTCATACCCATGGTTAAATAATCAATCATGTCCACAACAGCAACGCAAAACAATATTGCAGTTCTTGGTGGGGAGCATCTTGACCATCCACCATACATACCTGATCTCACTCAGTGACTTTCATCTGTTTCCAGTTTTGAAGAAAAATCTGGGCTGAAGGTTCTTGGGAATCAATGAATGACACAAGCCGTTAAACGTTTCTTTGGTATGCATAGCCCTGAGTTTTTCCTGGAAGACTACTTTAAGCTTATAAATTGGTATGACAAGTGCCTCAACGTCTTAAGGAATAATTGTGTGGAATAATAAAGTTATGTCTCATTTTTAATATCTTATTATAATTTCTGTCTTTCATGCTTGCCTCTTTTTAAGTCGCCACAGGAAGCCTAATTTCGGACACCCCCTCGTAGTCTTCATTGACTATATATATTTATCATATTTTATACACTTTAATTGATTTAACATAAAATTTTTGAATGACTTGTTCACTTTGGCCGTATCTCACCTTAATGTTTCTCATGCAGTACAGGATTTTATTTTTATCTATTGCAACCTTTTAAATGAGGATATATAATTGTATTGTTTGTCTACAGACAAGAGGGTTGCAGCCTGGCCTCTCATGCAATCTCCATTTCCCACTGTGATGTTAATTGTACTCTACCTTTGTTCTGTTCACTATGGACCGCAATTAATGAGATCTCGGCAGCCATTTGAAATGCGATGGATTCTTGTATTTTATAATTTTGCAATGACTTTTCTCAATTTGTATATTGGTTTGGAGGTATAGATCATTTTATTATTTTAAGTTTCTTCATGTAAAGAAGCTTGTCTTTAGTTCTCTTCCTTTGAGTTCTTCTTTTGTTGCATGTTACTGAGCAGTTTATCAAAGTAATGTATGAAGTTATTTTTTTATTATTTAGTTTCAATTTATGTATTATAATATTTATTTTTGTTATTTTTAGTTTAGCTTTGTTTAATACTTGCATACATATTTATGGCTTTGATATGCTTAATGTTTTTTTTTTCTTTATGTTTTCTATTTATCTAGTTTATTGTTACACTGCATGGTACATTATATGAAAAGAATTTCTTTAAAACTTTATATTAATAGTTTATTTTTATTAGTGATGACAATCTGCCAATTTACTTATTTAAAATATCACTAATAATCTATGAAATGATGCATACAATCATAAAACAATTTTGTTTGTCTAAAAGCAATTGAATATTTCAGAAATGATATTGAATGCCTCTGATTTTCTTTAAAATATTATTTAATTTATACTACTAGTGCACTACTAAACATTACTCGTTCATCAATTTATAAGATTCATATATTGGAGTGAAATTTATCTTTTTCAATTAGCTAATGTATGGTATCACATTTTTTTTTCTTCTCTGGGTGAATTTTGTGTATTGTTGTTCATTGATTCAGAACTAATTTGTTGATTTTTGTCCTCATGCTTGCCAACTTTTATGTATTTTGCATAAAATTTTATTTTAAAAGTGATTTTAAAATATATATTTTCTATTTATTTATTGGATTCACTAAATTTATTTTAAATAATTATAACCACCACTACATTTAAAGAAATTTGACAAAATATAAATTTAGAATAATCATTAAGCTCCTACAAAGTAAGTATATTTCGACCTAAAATTGTAATTAAATTTTCATTTCATTACCAATGGGGGAAAATTGTTCTAGAAAAGATAAACAGTTGGCAGCTGTGAGTTTTCCTAAATCAGAATTTTCAGTACTATATCCTTCAAGCAAACTAATAAATTACTTTATTAAAACTTTATATGTTAATTTTTTTATTATTTTTATTAACTAAGTTATAAGTTTTTCTATGTTTTGCATCAAGTTTTTGGCTATTCATTTGACAATTTTGAATTATTTTTCTTTATATTTTAGATGTTATTAATTATAAAAATATTATTCTTACAGATTTCAATCATTCTTGTAAACTAATACAATTGTTCGATAATTTAAATAAAAAATGTACTGTAAAAAGTATAATTTTACATTAGGAAATATTTTAATTATGTTTTTATTGAAACATTATTTTTCAAATTTAATATAATATTATAGTAATTTGGTAAATCATTATTAATAGAAAATTCATCTTTAATTGCATGTATGTGAAAAATACTTAGTTGAATTGTAATTTATTTTTATTTCCACTTTCTATTAATGCATAAACATCATATTAGAATATTAATTACCTATGTTAAAGGGTTAAATATAAATTTTATAAGTGTAAAAAAATTGAACCAGGAAAGTTTTTGAATGTTTTTATTCAAAAATCAATATTATATTACTACAGCAATTTAAAATTTGTTTATATACTTTAATTTAAAACCTCAATATATTTTCAGTTTATGTTTTCAAAATTATAAATAAAATTAAGCATTTTCACTATTGATGATGTAGAAAGGGCACTTGTTTTTTATTTACATCATCAATTATTCTTATTAGCATTAGAGTTATAATAATTTTCTTTAAAACTGTAAATTATACATTTTTAGCATTTAAGCAATTTAATTTAATTGATAATTAAAATGATATAAATGTGAATGATATAATGTATTGTATAAATGTAAATGATATAAGTGTAAATGATACAGTGTATGATATAAATTTAATGCATTAAACTGAAATAATTTAATTAATTATTTAATTTTTTCATTGTTAAAAAAGTGAAAGTTTTAATCAATATGAATTCAAGATCTTTAAAGTATTTTTTTATAAAGCATAAATATCCAAAAGTATTATGTTTTTATAATATATACTATTACAATGTTAGGGCATCTGTTAATTTTAATACAATATTATTGTAATAAGATATCTTTCAAAATAAAGAAAAGAAAGAAAAAAATGTGAATTGTAAGCAATGGCTTGAAATTAGTAACCATATTAGTAATCATACTTCTTACAGTCTATGCTCAAAAATAGTCAAATAGGTAGACTGAGCCATGATTCACCTTCCAATAAAGTGAACCGGGTTCAAATCCCAGCAATGGCTGGTCGATACGAATTCCGCATCCATAAGTGCTGTTGTAAAATATCCTCAGTGGTGGATGAATCATGGGTTAGAGTCCCTTTTCCGTCAGGCTAACTGTGAGAGGTTTTCATGGTTTTCCACTCCATGTAATGCAAATGCGAGTTAGTTCCCTCAAAAAGTCCTGCAGAAAGGCACATTTCTCACAATAATTGATCCAGGAGCTCCCTTGTCTTCTGGATTGTGTTCAAAAGGCTACGGAGTTGAACATTAGTTGTCGAAAACCCAAAAATTGGGTTGGCTGTTCAACGACTGTTATAAAAAAGAAAAATAGATATATAATGTATCAAAAAGTGTTAAGATGAAATTAACATTGTTTAATAATTAATGTAAATGTTATATTTTTATAGCTTTTGGTCTGCGCTTGGAAGCAAAATTATAACTGGGCATGCCAATTAGTAGATTTTTCAAGTAATCCTTATGAAGTTCGTGTAAGTAGAATTATATAGCATAATATTCATGCACTTCAATATTATCATAGTAAATAATAACGAAAAGTTTACAAAATCTATGAGAAAAATTTATGTGTGTGCAAATTTATGTGAAGTTTGTGTGTAGTGTACCATAACTTTTTCATGGTGTTTCAATTATTTGAAATTTATCTATTGTTTTCATTTTGCTAAAATTTTATTTAAGATTAAAAAATGAAATAAAAATTTCACAATTGAAGTACTTTCTCAGTTGTTCAGTGTTTTTATTATTATTTTTTCTTAAATATATAGTATAAATTTAGAAATTAACTTTACATGTACCTATGCTTTTTATTATTTTAATATTTAGTGCAATTACTTTTGAAGTTACATTTTTAAATCTTACAGCGAGTGAGGTTAACTTTATTACAATTATAAACTGTATAAAATAAATATGAATTATAAAAATGAATTTTGTAAACATTTTTGCTGAGACTTAATTAAACCCGGACTTTAAAACTCAAAATCTTATTATAAATTTTATTCTCTTAGATTCTTATTTTTCATTTTGCTAATAAAACTCATTATAAACATTCTTTTCTTTATGTTTTCTATNGCTGAGACTTAATTAAACCCGGACTTTAAAACTCAAAATCTTATTATAAATTTTATTCTCTTAGATTCTTATTTTTCATTTTGCTAATAAATTATAAACATTCTTAATACTTTTGGTTTCAGACAAATATTTTATGTTGGATTTGCAAAAATAATCTAGTTTTAATTCAGATGAATTACTATACGATCATTCTAATTAAACCACCTCTATTTGAAAATACTTTGCTATTAATATATGTTTAGTAATGTAGTTTTTCTCAATTGGTTCAGAAAGTACCCTCTTCCTAAACTAATTGCAATCAAATCTTAAGACCTATTCTGTTCTAAGAAAAATGGAATTTGCAAACTAAATAATGACTCAAAATGTTTAAAAGAAGAAAAAAAAAGCAGTTAGACCTCTTCAAAAGTTTGATGTTTATGTAGAGGAATAGAATAATATGATACTAACAATACATACTATTATAAATTAAACCACCCTTATTTGAAACCACACTGCTATTCACCTATGTTTAGTAATGCACATGCTTTGTAAAACATCTTTAAACTTTATAAATTTTCTGAGCAGATTTGTTTTTATTTTTTATTTTACATTTTTGTGATGGAAAAAATGTATTCATCATTTATTTATTTTAATTTTTTTTTTTCAATTTCAATTTTTAAATTATATTTGATTATATATTCTATTATGTTTATTATGTTGTGTTTATGTTTGATTATATATTCAATTACAGAATCTCATTTACTATGGCTTATAGTGAATCTACCACAGATTGTCATCTTGTTGGTTGTCCATAATCCTCCAAACTTTCAATTTATTTTTAATCATTGTATGTAGAATATTACTTTGAGAGCTGATTATGTAGGAAATTACCAGCATAATAATGACTAGTTAAATATTAAATCCTAAAAAAGTCTTCTCACAAGAGATCCAAATAGATTTTGTATCATTAACTAGAAGATATTTTATTTAATATAAATGGAAGCAAAATAAAAAGCCTTTTATATATTTTTTCCAGTGAGAGTCTAATTAGCATTATTAAAAAAAGACTAAGTGTATGTTTTAAAAATTTTAAGTATTTTTTAATGATTGGTTGATAGGCTAAGCAAGCTAACCCTCCCCCCAGCTTTACAGCTACTATATCAAAATTAAAAGTTAAAGTATAATTAAGATTAATAAACTCTTCGAAACATAGGGAAAGATTCATTGTTGGCGCTGAATAGGAAACAGATATTGCCAAAAGTCAATCCAACTCCCTGTTATCTATTGTTAATATTTTAAATACATTGACGAAATAAAACAAAACTACAAAAAATTCATTGTAAAAGTAAAACAACCAATGACCAATTACACTAATGATAAAAATGTTGAAAAAGGAATATTAAAAAATATTGATATTTAGTTATGTAATCTTGAATAATGATTAATTGCTTGATTATATTAAATGAAAAGTTAGCCTTTACTTTCGCTTATTGTATGAGATTGAATAAAAATTAACTTTTTTTTTTTATCATGAAAGAGATGAAAAGCTCTTTAATAAGAATATCAATTTAAGATATAAATGAAATTAAAAATTAGGAAATATGCAATGCCTATGTAGACATAATATGAATTGATAAAAATATGAATTAAAGAATTTTTTTTATAAATATTTTGACAGTTATATTTTATATAGATAATTTAGTATGAAACTTAGAAAAGTTTTTTAATATTTTATTTTTATTGTGAATTCATGGAAACATCACTGGAACTTATATAATCATAATTTTAAATATATATGTGTCTAAACATGCATAAATTTTTTGAAAATCATAATAAATACTAGTTTAAAAATTACTTTGAGGATTTTACAATGGTATTTTAAACATGTAAAAAAATGTTAACAATGGTGCATAATCAGCATTTTTAATATTAAATCTGGCCGGGATAGCCTGGTTGGCAGGATGTTTGTTTGTGAGAACAGGAGTTCGAATCCAGCCGGTTGAAGACTCTCCGTGTAGTAAATAATGGCTGGCGCATGTTAAATATGTCGGGTCACAAAGTCCTCCATGTTCCCATAACAAATCAATACCTCTGGATGTACTGAATTGGAAATTGATGATTATATGGTTCAGGTCAAAATTACGATCTGTGGATGAATGAATGGGCCCACCCTATAAATGGATGTGACATATGAGTGTGGCAGAAAGCGAATTCTCGGCCATAGATGGCGCCACTAGAAAACAAGAACAATCTCACTCCTTGCCTTAATGGTATAAGACAAAAATAACAACAATATTAAATCTGTTTTCTTGATTTATATAAATAATATTTATGAACAAAATTAATTGGTTAAATTAAATTTTATTACCTTTGTTATATCAATTTTTAAAACATTTTATTTTTTATAGATTGCCAAAGCGTTGTGGTGGTATTATTTTTCTAAGCTCCTAGAATTCTGTGATACTTTCTTTTTTATTTTACGTAAAAAGAATAACCAGCTTACATTTCTCCATATCTATCATCATTCAACTATGTTTGGTCTTTGGTGGATTGGAGTGAAATGGGTTCCAGGAGGCTCAGGTAAAATGTTTTCTCAAAACATTTAATTTTTGCTTAAGATAATAAGTAAAAATTCATCTTATAATTAACTTAAAATGTTGATTGTCAAAAGCTTTAAAATTAAAAATTTAGTGACAGTTTTAAATTGCAATAATTAATGTTCCCTCACTTAAACGCTTTAAAAACATATGAATAAAATATTTATTTTATATCTCTTTTGAATCAGTAAATAATAAGTAAATATAGGTAAACATTTTAAGTAATCCTTTGTAACCTGGAAGTTATATTTTATTCAACTAGAGACATCTGAAGTGTTTTATTTCCAATTTTTGTACTTGTGACAGTAATTATATACAATTAATGAGCACATACAAAGTGATGTGTAGAACAAAATGCACCTATTTTTCTAAGAATATGATGATGAATATTCAAGTAAGCAGTTATACTATATCAGAATATGTATGCATTTACCTCTGTAGCATTTACGCAATATATATTAATTACTTATTAAATTCAGAAATATGTGTTGGGGTCTTGGCACAGTAATATCATTTTGCATATTTTATTTTTTTAAAAATATAATTAAAGTGCAAAATGTGTTTGATGTAAGTTTTTTTTACTCCTTGCAAGTAGGTATATTATTAACTACTCCTTGCAAAACATATTATTAAATAATGAAAATAAATATTTTCTTTTTTTATTGACTTGACAGCCCTTTGTTGGCCAGAGCATTCCCTAGAACCTTCAACCTTTTCTTCTCTTTTCTTTGTGATTGTTCTCCAGTTAGAAATTTGTAGGTTAATACTAATTAGTAATAATTCCAGTTAGTAATAAATGTTTTAATGAGAAATATTGCTCAAGGATACAAAAGTTAATGAATTGAGAAAATAATCCTAAATATTTTTATATTCCATTTAGTTCTAACCATACAAAATGCAATTAATTGCTCATTAAGTTTGGTAAATTTAAAGAGAGATTAATAGCATTGAACCCTTTGGAAAGATCCTTGTATCATTTATTGTGCTTACGTGAATTTGTTATAGATTTTGGAATTTTTATTATAATCTTTTTAAGTTTTTTGTTTCATTATTTTTTAAATTTTATGTTGAAAATTGTCAGTTTGAACTTTTGATTAAAACTGATAATTTAAAGATTTGACTAAGCTAAATTTTGTTTCAGTGCTTCACATAAAAAACGACTTCTGCTTTCTATATACTCTAAATTTATTTTCAAAAATTAAAATATATTATATGATTTGAATATATTGTTTTTTTTAATTGTAGTAACTTTTTCTTTGAAAACTGTAAAAGTCATTAACATCTTTATTGCTGACATTATTTTTTTAAGCATTTTTTCATATTATATATTACGATTTTGAATATATTGTTTTTTTTATTGTAGTAATGATTATAAATATATTCCGTCCTTTTTTTCCCTTCAAAACTATAAAAATCATTAACATCTTTATTCTTAAAATTATTTTTTTAACAGTTTTTTTTAACGAATCATAGTATTAAAACATTTATTTATTTTTTAAAAATTTATTCATTTTCATTTTAATAATAATTAAGTGCATGTTTTAGTTGCAATTCTTTTTGTAATGTTAATGTATTAATTTCTGTTGTATTTTAGCTGTTCCTGGTGCAATGACTAATTCATTTGTTCATGTGTTGATGTATTTATACTATGGTTTAGCATCTATAGGCCCTATCATGCAGCCATATCTTTGGTGGAAAAAATATCTAACAATGATTCAATTGGTTAGTATTTTAATTTAATATTTATTTCTATATATGCCATTGACTTTAAGTTATATTTCTTTATCCTCTATTTTTGTATAAATTATTTATCTTATAATACTGGAGATACAGTCAGCTTTGCCCAAAAGAATTTTTTAATACCAATTGTATTCAAGCAAGTGAGTTATATGATTATAAGGGAAGTGCAAAAGACAATCTATGTTTTTTATAAAAAGTTTCTTTGAAATGGTGGAATAAAGTTATTTTGATAGTCAATATACAATTGTAATTAAAGTTATTAATTCTAATCTCACAGAATAATAATGACATTTAAATTCATATTAAAGTAAATCGATGCTAACTAAAAGTTTAATATGCATTCTATAATACTTTTTATTCCCTTCTGAAGAAATAGTGTTTTGACACACATTGCCGAACATTACTCTACTTCTTACCTTTCCACATTTTAAATGGTGTGTGAAATGTGTAAAAAAGGAATAAACCCCTACCATGTTTGCTATATAACTACTGACAATATTTGATGAATTCTTAAACTACCTCCTCATGTTAAAACACTAACTAGAACTAATTAAAACACAACTCTATTTTTTAAAAAAAAACTGCCAATACCAACTTAACAACTTTTAATTATTTTAAACATAACAGTGCTAACAAAAGAGAACATCAAATCAAAGAACAAAACAGAAAAAACATCATTAGTGTAACTAAATCAATGGTTATCGCTTTTTAATTTATTGTAGTTTTTAAATAAATGATCTAGTTCATCACTTTTAACACCTCATACTTGTTTGTATATGGATAGGAAGTCCCTATTGAAGTGACCTCTATTGTATTCTTATCGTAACTTAAAATTGGATGTTCCATTCTAAGTAGTAAAACAATTCTTTAAAAACAAAAATTTCTTTTTTTTTGTGCAGTTAAGTGCAGGGACCTTCAATGATAAAGAATCGTTTAATCAAGGAAATTTAACATTGGTTACATAAAAAATAATTTGAGTACACTAAATTTTATTTGTATAGCGGGTTATTAGATTATCCGATATACAATTAAATGGGAACGACTGTATCCTTAATTTTTTATTATTGTGCACTTTTTTTTAATGTGCATACACATAATTCTTTTACATAGGTACACTTTGCTAAAAAATAATACATAAATTGTGTTTTATGAATTTCTCGGAGACATTTATGTGGGGTTTTATTTCATGGTCAACAATGGTTTTTAAAATATTTGATATGATTATCAAAAACTGTTTTAATTCATAATTATTTTGAAGGAAACTATGATTGAATTGCAAGTAAAAAAATTTTGTCATAATGTTTTTTTTTTTTAAAAAAAAATTCAAGTNGATGTTTTTTTTTTTTTTTTTTTTAAAAATTTCATGTTTACAGTCTTTCTGTTATTTTATACCTCATTTTTGCTTTATGAAATTCTAAAAAAAAATTTTTACCTATTTTTTTTATTTAAACATTATCCATTGTGGAAATTATTTTGAAGATATCATTTTTAATACTAATTACTTATACATTAGAGGAATAATTTAAAAGTGTTAATTTTCTTGAAAACCTTTTTTTAAAAAATTAACAGTATGGTTTATTATTTTTTGTATTAATCCAATTTTTGAAATCAATTGCAAGTAAGTTGGTATCTTAAAGAAATGGAATTTTAGGTAAATGATCAAATTTTAGCTGAACATAATTTTTTTATCAGTATTAATTTTGATCCTTAATTGTCTAGAACTTTAGAATAATTCGTAAAAAAATTTTCAACTTAGCACTAGTTTTGTGTTAGAATTGCCTCAAGAAAAACTGGTTTGCTGTATTGGAAAATAGATATCAATTACAGTGTAGGCAAAAGCTCTTTACACACGTAGGCAGTACATGATGATGAATAGAATTATTTTTCTGAAATGTAAATTTCTAAAAATTTTTTTATTTAAAGTTTACTTTAAATCTCATTTGACAAAAATTTTCAAAACTTTAAATTATTTTTGAAAATTGCATCGTAAGGGGCATTTTTCATTTCATAATTATAGGTGATTTTCTTATTAAGATTTCATTTCCATATTTTTTCAATAATACATAAGATATTTTGTATATGTATAGAATGAATGTATATGTATTGAATATAAGAGTCAGAAAATGATTATGAAACTATAAAAATTGAAAATGTTAAAAGCTTTCAAATTAGTTTGCGAGTAAATTTTTCATACTAATGACACTTTTTTGCATAATATTAATTTGAAATAATTTGTTTTTTGCCATTTTTTTTAAAAAGACATTCATTCAATTATTTTTTTTCTAGATTCAATTTGTGTCAGCTGTGGTTATGGGAGTAAAGGCCATAATTTATAACTGTCCTTTCACAAGATGGATGCAATATGCACTTGTTGCATATTCTTTCTCTTTTATTGTTCTATTCGGTATTTTTTACCTTAATTCCTACTCACCGAAGAAACCAGAGGTAAAGTATTTTGCTGAATCTGAGATCAAATTTTTCAATATGTTAGCTTGAATATGTATATATATTTTTTGAAGAAATGTTAAAAATCTGACTTTAATAATGAGTTTGTTGAGTTTTTCCTGTATATCTTCAAGGAAGTGTATTAATGTTAAAAATCTAAAAAGAAAAATATTTCTATAAATAATTCTGTATTACATCATTGTCTTTATAAGCAATATTTAAACAATATAGTTAAAAATTTTACCTTTTGATTTTTTTGAAGCTTTATCTGTAGATTATCTATTTTTTAATTCTAAATTTTTTTAAAAAAATTAACATTTAGTTTTAATGTAACTTTTTTAAAATTTTTTTAATGCAAATGTTTGTATTTTACTTCTTAGTTTATTTTAATACTACTTTTATTGAAATAGTGTATAATGCATTTTATTTTTAATTTTGAAATATTTTTATATTTCAGAAAAAAGAAGCTTGAACAAAAAAATGCTTCTGTGTTAAAAGAAAACTCTACTGGCACGTACTGGCACTACAATTAAGCATTCCAAAATCAGGTTTAATGTATTGTTTTTTTATGAATGGATGTTTAATACGGATTTCAAAATGTCTGCAAGTTCCTAATCATTTATGCATGGTTCATGAAAAAGAAAAAAAAAGTATTGCAAAAATGTGTAATTCATGAAAATATATTTTATAATTTTTTGTAACTTTAAAACTGAATATATAAAATAAAATTTTTCTGGCTTTAATATTTTTACGAAATGCACTTTAAAGAGTTTTGAGTAAGCAAAGTAAAAGTTTTGAGTAAAATGATTTGTGATAAAATCCTATACCAAATCTATTTAGTTAAATTTGTAATCAATCAACCAAAAAAAGTGTAAATATTATAATGTATTATATTGCTTATATTTATTATATATATTGTATTTTTACCATAAGTAGGGCTCGAATTAAAAAAAATGAACTATCATAGTATTTGTAATGATTTTTATCGTGTAATTGTTTTACTGGTGTAATTATTTACCTGTTAAAATTGAAGTTCAATTTTTATCTTCTATTTAAAAACTTTTATTACTTTTAAATTGATTATATTTATGTTTATTAATAAGTATAGGAACATAAAATTTAAAAGACAAAAACACCATTACCGACTTTATAATTTAAATGCCTTTAATTTCTTGCTTAGGAATTAAAAACATTTAAGATTGGAGCAACAAACCTTCTACCCATATCTTTGCAATTATAAACCTATTTGAATGGTTCTTATTTGTAGGGGTATTCTTTAGTCCTAAATTGTGGTAAATTTATGGCTTTTATAGAGGACGTTTTGGGTAGTAGTGAACTTGCATTTGTGATACACAGTGAAAAAAACAAAATCTTCTGATGGTTGGTTTGATATTTAAAGCTCTCTATTTAAAACTGTAGTTGTTAATTTTTTTGTTAGAGCATATTATCTGCAAATCTTGTATAGAAACATTTTATTGTTATTCTAATTTTTTTTACCATGTTTTTTTTCTAGTTTATGCTAGTCTTTTATTAAACAGCTATTTTATTTTGTTAATTAGAAGCATTTCTTGAATTTTTATCTGTTTTTATTTTCATAAGTTCGTTTGTCTTGTTAGTGTGCATATGTGGCCTATTGCATTATTATGAAAAATCAAAAATATTTTTTTATTTAATTTCAAACTATTTATGCTATAAAAAAAATATTATGAAATAAATCAGCAACTGAAGAGAATAAAAGTCTAAATGTTAAAATTCATTAATTATTTTGTAAATTTTCATAGCCAGCTGTGCTTTTCAAATAAACAGAATATTCAATGTTGACTTTTTGTGCAGCAAGTTAACATTTATGTTCAATAATGTTAGAAAAAATAGTTTTAATTTTATGTCTTGAAAAAGGGCATTTTTAGCTTTTTAAAACTGCTAATTCATTTATGGATTCATAGAATTACTCAAAAATACCAAAGTGTATTTGGAGTTTTTTTTCTAGAAGCCAACTGTGATGTACTTAGTTAGCGGAACTAGTGAATTCTTGAAGAGGATATTGTAAGATTGTGATTGTAATGTTTGACATGTTTGTTAAATATACAAATTTACTGGATTTAGCGGATCTATTAAAATAAAATAAAAATAACTTAATTTAAATGCGAAACAAAAAAGTTTGAAAAAGAAATTTTTGTACTTAATTAATTCAAAGTAATTAAACTAATTAAGGAAAGCAAACTTAGCAATTCCAGAAAATGATTCTTCATAGTCTAAAATAATTGTCTGTGATATTTTTTTGTTGTTTTTAACAAGATAGAAACAATGTAATAATCACGAACCAAAGAGCTATAAAGACGGCTAATTTTGATATGGCTGGTAAATATTGTACAGTGAATTCTGCATCAGGTCGATAATAGTAATATTGGTGGTTTCTTAAGAAAGTACTTTCAGAGCTCAGACTTCATTTTGTGTTTTGTCAGTTTAGATGGTATTTGCTTATTGTACTGAAACAACTACCTTTTTTTTATTTAAATGCATTATTTGTGTTATTTATATTATTTCTACCTGATTTCTGCATGTGTGAGTTCGTGTGATGCAGTTGGTTTGGGTTTCATTCACATTACTGGTGGGAAAGCTGAGGGTTATAAACTATTAACATTTATAAGGTATTATTTCAATACAGTATTAAGTCCTTCCAGAACTTTAATGAACATATTATGGATTTTTATTTTATAATCTTAGCTGTTCTTTACCAAGTACAAGTTTTAGCTTAATCTGATTGTAATATCGACATATTGATGCCTAAAATTGCAAAGGAGATAAACTAGAATGCAGTTGTCTTAGAATAAAACAGAGGCTGTGTTTGCAAAATTAGAGATCTATGTAATCACATTTTTCTGTTTTTGAAATTCACCTTTAAAAATCTTCTAACTATTTTTAGGAATGGAGGATTTTTGGAAAAGGTGAAAAGACAAAAACTTAGTAGGAAACTTTTTTAAATTTTTTTTAAAGAGATTTATTTTATTATAAAATAATTTATGAATCTGTTAATATTTATAGTTAATAAAGCTTAGAAAAAAAGCTTGTTTAAAGATAATATAAAGTTATTTTTAAGAATGGAAACGCAGAAATTATGTATACAAATATAGATATTCAGAATTGTTTTTCGGCACGGGGAGACATCAACGCTACAAGAAAGTAGAAATACGGTTATTTAAATAAGCAAAAATTTAATCAATTTAAATGGATTACAATTACTAACAATTATCAAATAAAAATTTGATAATTGTTGCTTAAAAATCAGCTTTGATATCAACATATCACCCTTTTAACTCAATCTGACTTGCAATATTGGAAAACACTGTGTAAAGCTCTGTGTAAGGCTTTTATAAAAAGCATATCAAACAGTTCTATTTCAAACTGTGATGGATGTTTATTTTTGTACTTGTTATTCATTTTCTGAAAGTAAACATCGAAAAAGTATTGACAATCTCCTTTTTTCCTATTCATTTTGTGTTTAAAGCTGAGAAGAAATACTGTTTAAAAATTATCTTTGTATATACTGCTTAAGACTTTTATTTGTAAAAAAAAGGAATTTTATTTTATCTCATTGATTTATGGACATATTTTGAATTATTTAGAATGATTGGTTATATTTTTAATAAATCGGTACACATGATCAATGCAGTACTTCGTAAAAATAAAAATAAAAATTCACACACTATCAACACGGCACTTTGTAAAAAACTTGGGGGGGGGGGATGCAGCACACAAATTTGCACACTCGACCAAATTTCGTTTATAGGTTAATATTTTATTAATTATACGTAGGTTAATTAATAAAGATGAGAAGAATACTAATGTTTATTCTGACTGTCTGAGACAATAATAATAATTTTATTTCTCTCTTCTGTACATAATAAGATACCAAAATGTAATTTAAAAAATGTATGTTATTCCACACTTTATTTCTTAATTTTATATCAACCAAAAAAGAAAAATTAAATTGATTTATGTATGCACCAGCAAATGAAAAATGTTCTTTTCTCTTAAATGTATAAAATTATAAAGCAAATTTAAAGTAAAAAATCAAGACATATTTTCAGAAATTCTAAATTTATAAGTAAGCTATTATCTACCTTTTTAGAGTTCTCTCTATTTATTGATAAAAATTATTGTAGTTGACTCATAATTGATGGCTTTAATTTTCTTAATTCACATTTCTTCCAATTTTATTTATGTTATTTACATTTATGTTAGCATTAGAAAATTTTGTCTTGTTTCAGTGTTGTTTATTTAAATGCACAAGACTGTAAAATTATAGGTTTAAAATTTTAAAAAGAAATATATACACATGTATGTAAAGATGCATTTTTTAAAAAAAAATGGTTTGAAGTCATTAATATATGCTGAATTTACTTCAATAAAGTGTTTGTTAATTTGCCCACCTAATGTTGGCCCACTTAATATGGTGCCCCTGAAAGAGTGGCCAATGAATCTGCCCTTCAGGTGCCTGTATGACCTTGGCCATTATCCAGGTGGGCATTGAAAAAAAAAAGTGTTTGTTAATTTCCTGATATGACAATCAATCTTTAGATGTGAAATGTTTACTGTCAATTTTTCAATGATGTAATGATAATAATTTTTCATATTAGTATTTCAACCCTCCAAGTGTTAAGTTTTTATGCAAATTTGCAAGAAAATTTTCTCTTCTCAACAACAATTTCTCATTTAAATTGGAGGAGTTGTTGTTTTATTATGTAGATAAACCACCAGATTAACTTTGAGGTTTATTTATTAAAAAATTATAAAAAAAATATTAAACACTATTTTAAATGTACCAACCTTAATTTAAAAAAAGATGTTTATTTAATATTATGTATTTATTTAAGGAATAACAAATCCTAAGCTTGGCTAAACATGTTTTGAATGTTAATTCCTCACATTTAGGGATCATAGTGCCTTACATGTATATTAACACTAATCATACCATAACGGGTCAAAAGACCCGTTTTTGTATGTTGTATTGTATTGTATTGAAAAGTGTCGGTATGTTTAGTGTTAACACGATGATTCTTCCCGTTGTTTGATTGTTAAACTAATTTGGATGTTTGCAGTTTTATCTTATTGATTTTAATCTATTAAAAATGATTTTTATCTATAAATATGGGCACATCCTCAATTCGCTTGACTAATATGAATTTTGCTGAAAGTAATCTGCTTCAAAATGTCTGTAAATTATGTTATTATGTTATGAATGATTCAGATATACGTTTCATATTATTGAACTTTCAAAACGTGAAGTTGTATTTTTCTTGAGAGGCAATTGTTTATTTAAAAATGTTAAATGTAAATGCAATTTTTTGTTTATGTCTTACTAAAGAGTTGTTGAAAGATTATAAAATTTAATAAAGAGTGATGGACCAATGCATTATACAGGGTAATTATATATAACATTTGACCTACTGGTGATTTTTCGAAAGCATGGAGAAAATTTTGCATGAAGATATAATAATAAAAATGATTATAATGACAGTTATGGTGGCTGAAATTCTCCATTTTCGCTTTATCTCATTAAAATGTGGTTCTCGCAGTAAAACGCTTGTTAAAGTGGGAACACTGAAGCAAGAATACTAGCGGGGCTATTCTGAGACAAAATTGAGCCGAATAGCAGAGAGATGGCTCAGGGGATAGAGTGTTCGCCTTCCAATAAGGGGAACTGGGTTTGAATGCCAACAATGGCTGGTCGATACGAATTCAGCAGGCTTGCATCAACTACAGTGGTGACGTAAAATAGCCTCAGTGGTAGACGGATCATGGGTTAGAGTCTCCTTGCCGTCAGGCTGACCGTGGGAGTTTTTTGTGGCTTTCCTCGCTATGTAACGCAGATGCGGTCCTCCACGAAGGCAAAGTTGATCCAGGAGTTTCCTTGTCTTCTGGATTGGGTTCAAAATTACAAGGCTATGGCATTGAATATTATCAGTTGTGAACCCAAAAATTGGGTCGGCTGTTCAACGACGGTTATAAAATTTTAAAGAAAAGGATAGCAGACAAGTAAAAAATTTATAAAATAACCTTTTTCAACACTGACTAGCGTCACTGTTTTTTGTGCTAAAAATACCGTTCTAACTCGATTTTAGGCTTTTTGCTGTGAGGATCACGTTTTGATAAAGGAAAGGTAGTGAAAATTTTGTCACTGTAAATGTCTGATAATCTTTTTGAGCGCATACCTTATAATAAATTTATGGAAAATTTGTATTCCACTCTCTGGAATGGTATGGTCGTGATAAGTGGACAAAGTTATTTTATAATCATCCTGTGAATTTAATGATAAAGATTGTTGTTGATTGTTTCAAACTGATTTAATAATATGAAGTCTACTGAACAAAATAGAGAGTATATATGTAAGCTTGTTCAATAAGCAGCATGTTTATAACACTTATGTAAAAAGTATATGGTGGTTGTTCTCTTATTTGAGAAATAAAACTGTATGTTGAAACTTAGTAGTTTTTTCTTCTTCCAATTTTTATTATTAACAGAGCCTATTTTTGCATGACACACTTGATTTTCCTAGGGAAAATTTGACAATTTTTAAATCTTACTGGGTGAGAAAATTAAATAAATAGGCTATAAGCAGCTCTGCCTTTGGGTTCCAGATAAATCCGAAAGTATTTTGAAGTATCAAAGTTGATTCTTTACTAGTGGTGCAAAAAATTAAATCATTTTCCAGTATTTCATACTTAACATTTACAAATTTCTTTTTTTATTACAACCAGTAAAGACAATGCAGAGTTTTTTATTAAAAATATTCAGAAAAACAAGCCTATCAGTAACACTAAAATTAATAATTTTTTTTAGTGACGTTTTAATTACAAAAGGGATGATTAGGTAAGAAAATGATTTTTAAATTTTTTTTTCTAGTCCTTATAGTGCAAGGGGCGCCATAGGCAAGAAAAAATCTGCAGTGTTCCCGTTGTTGTTGTGGTCGGCCATTAAGGCAGAGGATGTGCGATTTAAGGCCAAGAATTCGACTTTTGCCTCACCGATACATCACAATCGTTTATAGAGTGGACCCATTCATGTATCCATTCATTCGTCCACGCAGCGTAAGTTTGACCGGAACCAGAGAACGATCAATCTCCAATTCAGTATCCCCAGAGGCATTGATTTGTTATAGGAATATGGAAGAATTTGCGACCCGACAGATTTAACGTGCACCAGTCACCATTTACTACACGGGGAGTCATCGGCCGACTGGATTTGAACTCTTGTTTTCACAAACGTGAATCTAGCGCCCTGCCAACCAGGCTATTCCGGCCTAGAGTGTGCCTAAAGCAAGGAATAACTATGAAGTTTATGTAAGAGAAGTGTAAGTTCATTTTTTTTCTTCTGACAGCAGTGTCAACTAGTTATTCATTCTAGCAGAGCATAATTGAAGTGAAAAAAGGTTTTCTACACAGACGCATAGTTTTTGATTGACAAGTGTTGAAGTCCCGCAGTGGACTGATCTTTAAGATACGGTTCCCAACAGATCACCAAAGTCAAGCATCACTGACTGCGGTCAGTGTGCGGGTGGGTGACCACTTGGACCAGTCTGTGTAGGGACCGAGAATGTGCGATATGGGTCCTCGTTAAACTGTTCTACCGTAAAGTGCTCGACTTCGCGCGCAGGTCGTCGGACTACCGAAGCGGGGGTGCCATCCCCTGTGCAGAGGATCAAAATTGTGATGGCATGTCTTCGGATTATTCTCAGGGATGTTTCCCAGACTGTCGTCAATAGCCCATTCTGCAGCTCTAGTACGACGTAACTGAACTACGACAACGACAAGTGTTGAAAATAATTTATGTACAATGCACACAAAAAAAAAA